TTGTTCTTTCTTTTTCTAACCCAAATACTGATTACTTAGCTGTTTCATTTATTACTCAGTAATAGGTATATTACTTCCTCTACCTGCTGGATCCATATTGTGCTAATATGTTCTAATAGAACAGAGATGTTTTTAAAAAAAGGATATGGGGCTTCTTTTTCACAGTTTATTTACTGAGCTGAATATTGGTCATCAAAGTAGATGATGAAATAATAGTTAGGATTTTACATTGCACTGCATTGTTCACTGAACTTTGTTCATTGAACAATTTCCTGGTTTAGCACATAAACATAAATTATGGTTTATGAGCTTCAGATTGTAATTTAATCAGTAAAAAAGGTTTATAAACTTAGCATAACATAAAACATGCTAAGGCCAAAATAAATGAACGAACCTCGGCCATTATTTGTCAATCTTTTCAATATTTTATTTCCTATAGAAATTTAAAGAGTGTTTAACTATATAAAAACTAATGTCTCTTTATTTATTTATTTATTATATTATATTATTTATTTATTTATTTATTTTATTGGACATGCACATTTCATAATTCAAAAGTTTTTTTTCTTGATTTCTGTTTTATACAAATAATTTCAATTTCTATCTGGCAGATGATCACTGCTTTAGTCAATGTTCATCTGGAACATGGCATGGAAAAATTAGAGTTTTGTTTACAAATTAATAGACAATATTACTGCATATATCATGAAAGGCATTAGCCAGGTTTGTTATATCAAATCATCCTGGTTAATTAATTTCATCTTAAATCAAATATACAATTTGCAGTTGCAATACAAGAATCCAAGTTAATGTGCCTAGTGCAGCATTCTGTAATTTAGTGACCACCAGATATGTTGGAGTTTCATACTGCAACTTTCAAAATGCCCACCCAACATAGTCAAATAATAATCCCAACACTTCTACAGAATGCCAACTGGGGAAAAATGCTTAAGGTTTATCGACTGCTACAAATCTGAATATTTGTAGGCTCACTGTTTGCAAAGTTGATTTTTTAGCTATCTGTTGGCTTGCAATTCATTTGGCTTAATGTCAATTAATGTCCCAAGTGGAGCTCTACAGTAGATGGGAGTTATGAAAGTTGAAGTCCAAACTATTTAGAGGACACTAAGTTGCAGACATTTGCAACAAACAACTGAACTCAGAGAGCAGCAAAGACCTCACAGGTCAAACCTGAGCCACAATATTCTCTTCTATTAGTAACACTAAGTTGTGTTTTTCTTTATTATTCTTGTTTATTAAAATACTTTTTTTCGTGCACTTAACCCTGTTGCTTTCTCTTCTGCATGATTCCAACTGTATACAAGATTGCTACAACTTGTGGTTCTTGTTGCATGACATTGTCTTTTTTTTCCCATGCTTCCCTGCCAAGTTTCATGTTGCAATTTCTCAATATGCTAGCTTAGTTTCCTGTTCACCTTTTCATGTACACGCACCTTACAGCATTGTTCCAAATACAAATAATCATACTCATAAATTCATTACTTTCACACTAAACTGGCTATGTAATCATGGTCCTCTGTTATCTTTAAACAAATTGGCCACTTATGATTTTTGAGCTGTCCTCATTTCCATTTTTGTCTCTGTTTGATTTTCTCTCTTGCTAATTCACTAGGATCCTCAAGTTTGTTGTAAAAAATACATTAACATTTGGGCTGCACCTACGTTTTGCACATAAAGTATTCATTCAGGATGTAATATTCCCTTTTCCTTAAGAATGTTAATAAAGAATGATAAGCCCAGTACTCTTCAATATCTTCATAAATTATTAAATGATAGCTTAGGGAAACTCATCACATTTGCAGATGACATCAAGCTGGCAGGAATAGCCAATACTCCAGATCAGTGGTACCTAATCTTTCTGGCACCAGGGACCAGTTTCATGGACATCAATTTTTTTCACAGACTTTTTTTTTGGGGGGGGGGGGGGGGGGGAGGAAGGTTTTGCATGCAACCTAGATCCCACGCAGGCAAGATGAAGCTTCATTTGCTTGCCTGCTGCTTGCATTGTCCGTTATGCGGCCCAGGGTTCTGGGATCCCTGCTCCAGATGATAGGCTCAAGATACAGAAGGATCTTGACAGATTTGAATACTGGGCCCTATTTAATAAAGTGAAATTCAATGGTGAGAAAAGTAAGGTTATAAATTTAGACAAGATAAAACAAATGAATAGGTATAGCTTAGGGGTTGGACTAGAAGACCTCCAAAGTCCCTTCCAACTCCATTATTCTGTTATTAAGTTTCTTACTTGTCTTTTTTCAGTCTGAAGATTTATAATCTCTTCTGGTTTATAGCTTTGAGAATACATTTTTATTTTGCATGTAACCTTAAATTTACCTATAGTATGAATGAGGTGAGAGCATGCATATTATTCCCTTTGTGCACTTCACTATTCATTTTATGCAATTCTTTGGATTTCATCTATTGCTTTTTTTTAAAAAAAATACAGATTTAGACAAGCCCACAATTTGTCACCTTACTAAATTTCTTAACGAGGTTTAGATCGTAAGAACGTGTATGTCAGAATTTAGCAATCCTATTGTGCTCCAGGGCTTTTGTAGATCATTATGTAAGATGCAATTTAACATTAATCATTAGAATAGGAAAAAATATTACTACATTAGGAGGATGGTATTATCACACTTTTTTTTTTTTAGTATGAATTGGATCTTTTCAAATGGCTGCTTATATTTTAATACAGTACATTTTTATATGGTGTAGCACTTAGGGTTTTCTGTATGTCCTTTGGATGAAAAAAATATCAGTTTTTTAGGAAAAATATAAATACCAACTTGTTACTAATATCATAATTTCTGATCTACAGGGCATGCTTTTAAGGCAATGGGATTGTGCAGATCAGCCAATTAATTAATCTAACTCATTGATTTAGCATACTAATGATTCTCAATATTTTTCTTGCATGAAGAAAAAATAGTATTTATCCAGATCCTCAGAGAAAATCTGTTTGCTTTTGTTGGGAATATAATAGTAAAACTTAAAAAGACTGAATAAAGATTATCTGTTAAATTATCAGCAGGATCATGGATGATGGCAAGCTGCTTGTTGCATCTGATATATAGAGTCTTTAAAAACACAGGAAGTAATATTATGTTTCAGACTGTAATTTCATATTCAAAATTAATGAAGACCTTTTGAGTAATTCATGCAAGATCAAGCAAAGAAGGAAATGAGACAGGAAGAGAAGAAAGGTGGCAACATTTGAAACTACATGTAAATTGTTTGTAGAGACAAATTAGAGGTCTTTGCATTAATCTGTGACAATTGCTGCACATTCTAGATCACTCCCAACAAGGGCCTAACCCTTTCTCTTGGTAAAAAAAACAACCCAAAATTAATCATTTTGTCAACCTGAACGGGAACATGTAGCAATCAAACTGAATGTAAAGTACTCCAAACAGCTTTATATAAAACTGGTATATACTGTGTTAATGTAAACTAGATTTTTTTTAGTTTCTGTTTCAATTATTTTTTTATATTACTATTCATTTTTTGTTATTTCCATAACTATTCCTTACTCCCAAAGTGCATGATATGATGTGTACGTAATGAGTTGGTCCAAGGTGAGTTGAATATAACTCCTGGTGAATTCATAGACATGCCCACATACAAAAGTGGTTTATCACTGCCTTCTTCAGGGGTTCCACCCAACCACCCTGATTATTTGTATAGTTTATAGCAAATGTTTCTCAACCTCAGCAATTTTAAACTGCATGGATTTCAATACTCGGAATGCTAGCTGGAGAATGGGATAGGATCTCCTCCTTTTGAGCTGGAGGTTGGACTAGGATCCAAGGTCCCTTCCAACTCCATCATTCTGTTATTCTTATCCTGAATTATGGAAGTGGAAGTCCACAAACTTAAAGTTGCTTCCTGGAGGTGTCCCATCCACTACTTATCAGTACTACCCTGATTAATTTCTGCATGCACCATAGCTACCTCTTAATACAGGCCTTACAACCACAACTGAGCCCAAAATTTTTGTTGTTAAAAGATTTTCGCCCCATTTTACGACCTTCCTTGCCACAGTTGTTAAGCGAATCACTGCAGTTGTTAAGTGTTAAGTGAATCTGGCTTCCCTATTGATTTTGTCAGAGTCACAAAAGGTGATCACACGATCCCAGTACACTGCAACAGTCATAAATATCAGTTGATTGCCAAGGTCTGAATTTTGATCACATGACCCTGGGGATGCTGCAATGGTGATAAATGTGAAGAACGGTCATAAGTCGCTTTTTCAGTGCTGTTGTAGCTTCGAGCTACACGAACTGTTGTAAGTCGAGGATTACCTTGTCATATATTACATGATTCTCTAAAGATCTGCAGAAACAACCTAGGAGCATTGGGCTGGACTAGAAGACCTCCAAGGTCCCTTCCAGCTCTATTCTGATTCCGATTCCTATCGTGGACAGCTTTAAATCTCTCCTCCGCCAATGAGAAGAAAATGCTTGATAGGAAGGAGAAAGGATCCCGTCCTACCATTCGACCCGACGGCACAACAATGGATGAAAGGCGGCTCTAATCGCTGCCCTTAAAAAAGTGGGGGACAGAAGCAAAACCTGTCGGCTTCGCCTCCTAGCAACAGGAGTTAAAGCCTTCTCGTGAAGCCTTAAATTGCACGGAAAATCTGAAAGAAGAAAAGCTTTGCAGGAAATCAACCAATGAGCAAAGCGCTCTTCGAAGTGGGGTGATATTGACCGGCCGGATCATTTAAAGGGAGGAGGCTGGCAATAAGAATAGCCAATGGCCGCTGGTTGGTGGAATGAAGCTTCCACTGCGTCGAGATTGGCAGTTCAGCGAGCCGCTTAAAAAACAGAGGTGGGAGAGCTGCGCGAATGGGGGGGGAAAAAGCTTCAGGAGAGGTTGGGCGACGGTTGAAAGTCGAGCAGATTGACGTGCGTGGCAGCCAATGGCTTTCGCGTACCTGTTTTGGCTCAGCCCAATGAGGCGTTCGTGGCTCTGGCGGCAGGTGAGCCAGTTCCCCGAAGGCGGACTGGAGTTTGGTGTTTGGGACCGCGGATAGAGATGTTGCTGTCGCCGTCCTTGGTGCGCGCAGGGGTGTTTCTGCTGCTGCTCCTCCTGGCGGCTCCGCTGCACGGCCGACAGATCCGGTTCGGGGCGAAGGCTCTGCGGGTCAGGCGGGGGTTACGCGGCGGGGCTGAGCCGGAGACTGGATGCGGCCCGCAAGACGAAGGATTCGGCAAGGAGGTGCTTGGCAACAACACTCACAAGGTGAGGGCAGGAAGTGACCTTCCTGGCCGGGCTTGGGCCACGGAGGGGTACCGCTAGCGCCGCTGCCTCCGCCAAGGCTCGTGATGCAGAGCGGTGGGGCTCTGACTTTGGAAAACCGAACTTCCCGCTGGAGCAGGCAGCGTCCGGCGCAATCTTCTCTGCAACACGCGAGGGTCGCTTTGGTGCCTTTGAAGTGTGTCCTCTGAACATGGGCAGAGAGCTGTATTTTTATTTTATTTATTTTTTGAGAACCAACACAACAGCTGGCTAAGCTTCCTTGGTTTTCGCCCTGTTTGTCTTGGACTGGGGGAACAGATCAAGTAGCCATGACGCCTGAGCAGATTGTTTGTTTCTTTTTCTGTCATTAGGCAACACGACACCTAGTGTGTGTTTGGGTGATGCATAGGTGGTAAGACAACCACACCTTTAGATGACAAGGATCCGGAAGGTTAGTTAGAGGGAGTTAGGCATAAAGTGCTTATCTCCTTTCCCCTCCTCCTCCTGCGCTAAAGGCTAGGCTGATCTTCACAGTTGTATTGGAGAAATAGGGTGAGAAAGACGCACCGTTTCCCTTGGTAGAATAGCAGCCCCCCCAAGACCCATTTGGAGCTTTTGAAAAATAAGGAACGATTTAGTCGGTTATGCAAATATGGATGACATTCATAAAATGCAAAGGTTGCCTTTTAGAGTGTACTAAATTCTTAACTACTCTGCTTTGGGTGTTAAAAGTAATGCTAACTGAGTTGAGATTAGCATTTGTATGATGGGGCATGCTACAATAAGCAGGGCCAGAAATTACTAGCTTGATTAAAATAAAAAGTCAGTATTCAGGCCCTTAATCCTAGCATACACCACTGATGCTATCTGGAAATGTGAAGGTTTAATGCATTTGGTGAGCACCCTCTTAAAGGAAGAAAAAAAAGTTCTATCAAGATAATATGACAGTTGGACATGGGAATGGCCGTTGACAGAAAGTTAACTGTTGAAAGCCATTCAGGAACAAAAAGCCTATTTGGTTATCCTGTTCCTGAATGCAAAAGGTCTAAGATTATTCTATTTTTTATGCATGTCAAGCAGCTCTGCTACTAGGCATTTGAAATGGAATGAAATAGTCATGTATCAAATACTAAACAGTCAAATGTCTCAACATTGGTCTCAAGGGAAATCCGAAAACCTCAAGGGAAGTTTTCTAGTTATGTTTAAGTTGATAACTCACTCAGACCTTTTCCTCATTTTTTTTGCCCTATCCTGTTAAATATCTTCAGTTTTCATTATTTTTTAGTATCATTTTGTTACATGTTTCCTCTTTTTAAAAACAATTTTCTAGATGCATTCTCATTTTTTAAAAACTTACAGTAAATATTTGCTTCCTATTTTTTTCTACTTTTGTTTGGTAGGTCTATTTTTCTTCCTTTCAGACAGATTGCTAATTCAATTCATCATTTATTCCCAGTATTTTGTGACTTTGATACTTCTGATATGTATAATATGGTCTAACTTGATTACTTTCTTGGTGTATTTTAATGTTAGATAACTTGAATCCATGCATTCACATGTCTGCGTTGCCTCTCCATTCCTGTTTCCTTGTTTGTGTTTGCTTAGCTTAAAACAGAAAATCCCAAAATACGCCTACATTTTATTTCTGATTTATGGAAGGCACTTAGTGATAATAACCTTATATTATTTTTAGGTGTACATAATGTCCAAAAATAGTTCTAAAAAAAAAAGAAAGAAAACCGGTTTGCATGCTAAACTTTTTCTCCACCTGTCAGTATTCTGCAAAAGCTCTTTCCTGTGGTAGTAGTTTTAATTTCTGTTGTGTTATTTTTGGAATTACATTGTCGCTTGCTTTTAAAATAAAATTCTAAAATGGAAAGAATAGTGAAAATCCTCTGAATTGAGAGTTTCATAAATATATATCTATCTACCTTGAACAAATTACTGTTCCCATTCCTGATTATTGTTACATTTATTCTTTACTGTCCATATGGTTGATGCTGGTTTTCATTATTACTGTTATATGTGAAAAAAATAGAGCAGTTGTTGTTCTGCCAGCGATTACTACAAGTTCTCAGCTGGTATTTTGTTAAATTCAAGTTTTTATCAGTTTTGTGAGCATGTAAGACTGAAAGCTCTGTTAAACGCAGATTGGCTCAGTTGAATCTGGTTCTAAAGGGTAATGTTCTTCTGACATATTGTATAGTGTTCTTTCTCAGCAGAGATTGTGCTGCTTTTGTATTTTGTGTATTATTACCATTAAATATATGATACAAAGTATTGGTATTGATTTATTGACTATAATTTGTCTCAATGTGCTTTATCATAACTGCTTTAGAGCCAATATAGTACTTTACCGGATTTTGAAAGGGATGTACATATTAATACCTAAACACTTTTTATAGGGAAAATAATTATTATAAGAAGCAGAAATGTTTTTTTTCCTGAAAATTTTCTTATGCAAATGAGTATGATTCTAATCAACATATTCATCGCAGTATCTATAGTTAATGGCATTATACATATTGTATAGTGTTCTTTCTCAGCAGAGATTGTGCTGCTTTTGTATTTTGTGTATTGTACTTTGGAGTTTTTTTCTGGTAAATCAGAATATTGCATGTGTGTGTCAGTCTAAAAATCCTAATAGATAACTGGATCATCTGAGCCCCTCTTAGTGAACCAGAGTGGATGGGATTTCCCACACATTGTACATGCTTGTTTCATTATTTTCTGTTCCCATTCTCTAACTGACTTAGTTCTGAATATATCTTTACGTTGAACTGTCATTTTCTCCATGATCTGCAGCTGTGTTTAATATGTATGATTATCACATCAAATGGAAAGTTTATCATAGTTTGCTATGGGAAACCTTTATATTTTCTTCTTGTTGAAGTTTGTCCATTTTCATTAAGCTAGTTTACAGCATGTATTTCTAGCTTAGTTTCTCCATTGAAATACTAAGAGGAAAAGTTGAGATCTTAAGCTCAAACTCTTTTTAGTTAGGATAAATATCAACTGTGTTAGGTAACAGTGAGTATGCATTTGTATATGTACTTCTAATAACAGTATACACGGTTGAGTTAAACAATATATAGCAGCAGAAAGAATTCTAATGAATTAATGAAATATTCTGAAAATATTAAGAAAATGCTATATTTAGTAAACCTAAAATCTTATCTGTCTTAATCTTCTGCAATGTTTAAATTTAAAAATTTTAAATTAAATTTTGTGGTTTATGTACTGCAAAACTTTCAATTTTCGAATACTTATTTATCCATCTGCAGCTAAATACTTATCTGAAAAAAATATTTACAATTCAGAAAAATCATATAATTATGTCCATGGGATATAAAAAAAGTATTTTGGGATATGTGAAAAAAGAGTACCCAGTATTAGGGAATCTCTGTCCTTATGTCTAATTCGATGACATTTTGCTTTTTCACTTTTCCTCCACCTCTTGTCCATGAATTGTATTTTTTTAAATTTGTGTTTTGTAACAAATCAATGTTGTTTATATATCTATTGAGAGTATTATACTGTATATCAATTTGTATCTTTGTGTATTCATTTTCCAGAATCATTAAGGGAAGGTTGCCTCCTTCCCCCAAGATCTGGCTTTTTCTAGTTATTTTTTAGAGAGTACAAAGCAGGAAATCAGGTGAAACATTCATTTTATACTCTTGCTAGCCAAGGCGGAGATCTGGCCTTAATAGAAAGGGAAAACCTGACCAACTGGTAAGACAGTGGGCCTGCAATTAGAATGTTTTCTTTAGGCTATTTGTTTACAGGATAGGAATTATGTTACAGTCAATTTACCAACTTGTTTGAAGTTTCTTTTCCCATCTTTCCTGGTTTAGGAGAGTTTAGGGGCTTTTTTCAAAATATCTTAGCAATCCATTAAAATGTGTGTCTCTGGTACTATAGATATTTTTCCTAATATGTAGATAATTTAAAGCAAAGTTTGGCTGATCTTAGAAAAGCTTAGCTGGATCAGACCTGGTCAATATTAAACAAGAGTCTATTAAGAAATCTTAGAGTCCCATTGTCTCTTACCATTACCCATACTGATGGGAAATCTGAATTTAATATTTGGAGACCTGCATCTGCCCTCTTTCATTTATTCCTGTTTTTCCCCTGATTGCCCTAAAATTTCATTGTTATTAAAGTATCCTCTATCAGTAGAGCTTTGGAAGTTGGAAGTCATGTCTTGTTATGTGATGTATCTCAGATACTTAGCTTATAGTTATGATAAGCTTCTAAAAGCCATTTATTTATATTTGCTGGAATGGAATGGAATTGAGATCTTGGTTTAATTCCATTTGCCACTGAACTGTGAAATACTTGGATACTTTGCTCGCCAGTCCTTTGCCTTCAGCTTACACAAGGATATTTTTCATCTGTTTCAATGCAAAGCTTACATGATAAAAGAGCCTCACAAGAGCTTGATGTCTCAGCACGTGAAAGAATGTGGAATTGTTTGCTTGTAGTGTCTGTTCAGTTGCTGTCATCTGTAATAGAATAGACAGTGCCTGTTAGAGGCTAGAAAACTAACAATGGCTTTCACAATGTTCTTTTTGCACATTTAAAAAGTAATAGTTAAAATTATATCTGAACCTCATGCTGCTGTCTCACACCCATTGTATCAGCGAATTAGGACTCTTCTTCCAAATATAAACAGATATTTAAAAGTGCAGCCAAATAAAAAGATAAAGAAAAAAATAAAAAATAGAAAAATATTACAAACTGTGTAAAATTAAATAATATTTTTATTAACTATAGTACTATATTTAAAGGTGATCTTATATCAGTGTACTACTTTAAAACTATTGTTATCAATAATTAGGAAAGGCAACCAATATGATATGAATAATCACGACAAACCATTAATAGCAATTTTGGTTGAATCTGATAGCGTCTGTAGTTATTATAACAAGTAAGCAAAACCTTTTTTAAAGTTTGTGCTAAAGAAAACTCGAACTTCAGGTGTAGTTTAAGTCTATGTCCAGTATAGTCAATAAATGGTTTCTATTTTCTGAGTTAAGTTTAAATTCAGTATCAGATTTATTTGATCTAGCAAATGTTTTCAAATGTTATGGTGATCTCTACCCTATTTATCTTTAATTTATCTTTATATTTTTATTGGAAAAAAAACCCTTAGGAAATGGTCATGGTGTTATAAAGTGCCAGAGTCCAGTATCATTGTCATAAGAATTTTTCTGGATCTTCTCAGTCTCCAAGACAATAAATAAAAAATAAAAACAGGATAAATATCCAAATGTCATTATTTTATTTAAACAATAAGTAATTTATTATTTAGCTAACTTGGAAACTAGTAAGAAGTAAGTAAATGTGGTATGCAATGTGTTTTTTTTTAAATATCTTTTTAAAAATGTGTATTTTCTGATTGTTGTGGCTTCTAGAACTTTCTCAGGAGAGGCCACTCTTTGTTCCTCATTAATCATCCTCTAAAAGTTGAGGATTCTTTTTAGCAGTGCCTTCTTTACTATTTTATTATTTTAAATATTCTTTATTACTGCTATTATGTTTTATGTTTTTGTTGTGGTTTGTTGTAAAATGTCAGAGGGTAGTTAGGAATCATTTCCGCAACCAATGATCTATATCATTACATGTGGTGATACTATTTGCAATAAATATACTATTGAGAAGAATGAATTACAATGTTAATACTGTACTGGTAGTTATATGTAGGAGTTCTTTATATTTAGATGTGTAGGCAACCCTGAAAAAAAAATCAAAGCTGTTTTGTGTGTCCATCTCAATCCGTACTTTTAGGTCATCATGATATCACTTTTAGTAAGGAGAGCAGTGTATGATTTATGGCTCAGTAAACTGGTGAGACAAGTTTTTCATGTTTTGAATAAGTTTCTAAGAGTGCTAAAACTTTCCCTGCCCCTTTTCTAGGACAAGAAAGATTTGAATGGTTAGATACTGTATTTTTATTTACTTTACTATGAACGACAGTAAGAACTACATATTTGAGAAAGTACCCATTACACTGAAAAGGGCTGAAGTTCAATTTCAAAGCCTCCCCCCATTTTGATAGGGGAGGAAGTTTCAAGATTTAATACAAAATAAGTATGTAAGCCTTACAACAGTGGTGGGATTCAAAATTTTTTACTACCGGTTCTGTGAGCGTGGCTTGGTGGGCGTGGCAGGGGAAGGATACTGTAAAATCTCCTGTCAGAGATGGTATTCACTGGTTCTCCGAACTATTCAAAATTTCTGCTACTGGTTCTCCAGAACCGGTCAGAAACTACTGAAGACCACTTCTGCCTTACAACCTTTCCTCTCTGCAAAATACACTTTGCGTTGCACTACCGTATTTTGGTAGCATAGTGTCATCGGTTCTTGAGGCTTCAGAAATACTCCTGGAATAAGTGATGCTGAAGAGGTTATTTCCTTATTTTTCTCTTGGGTTATTTCTTGAGTGCCACAGTGTTGGAATTAAATTAATAATTTCTCCTCTGATATGTGTTCCTTGCTGTTTCCATACTGGCCCTAATGGGAAGCTAATTTTGGAAGAATTCTGGTAAGTCAACAATAGTGAGCCTTACTTATAGCGAAGTCAGTATTTATTGCACCGAGTTGTGTAAAGGCAGAACATATTTTTCTTGTAGTCAGAGCACCCATGATTTCTCTTGTTTTGGCAATAGACAGATTAGATACCTAGTTGCTTTTCTTAGACCAGGAGACAACTAACTCTCACAATTATTTTCACTCTTCCTGAAGTGAGATTGCAGAAAGCATAATTAATGCTGATATGCCCAATTTTTATCCCCTTCAGGTTCTGTATTATAAATTGTGAATACTGCTCACTATTACTAGTGTTAGGACACATTCAGTATACGCCCTTTGAGATGAGTCACCTCACTTGAGATATTGGCAGTTCTACCAGTATCATTTGTTAGGATGGAAGAATTGAAGAAAAGGTTGGTCTAGCAATCTTGCAAATTTATTATACTGCTTTGAGCCCTGGCGAAACTATAACCTGCCTCACAGTAATCTCACCTATGTGGTTAAATAGGTGATTATGACTTTGCCATAAGTGCATTCCTTTCACTTTGTGCTATCCCTCCTACATAATTGTGGATGTTAAACAGCATCAGAACTTATAAATCACAGTTCTCCAGATGACAAATATACTCTGGCAGTGCCATCTGAATGATTCAATGGTAATTGAACTGCCTTAAGTCAAGACCTGGGCAAATGCTGTGATCCTGCTATTTACTGTAGCCTTCCAGAAAGATTGTGACACTGATGTGCTAATGACACTAATTTGTGAACTTTATAGTAATTCTGGCAAAACAAAGTGCTAAGCTATGCTTTTCGCTCTCGTTGAATGCTAAATGAGTTATTAATAGTGAGGAATCTCAAGTAAACAATTTTGATTTTGAATGTCTGTTTTATTGAAGATCTAAATTTCCCCAGCTGTTCCCCAGCTAACATATCATTACTGCTGCATTTTAGCTTGGCAGCCTCTCATGTAACCCTTCATATTATTGCTAAGGTAGCAGTGATGCAGGTGCAGTGTTTTCATAGCTATAAGGTGCAGATGTAGATGATATATGCAGTTTGGTGCTAGTATTTGTGCTGCTGTGTCCCATATTGCATTTAATTTTATGTTAATGTTAAGTCGATTATTTTAAAGAATTATTGTTTGATTAATTTTGGGCATTTTGAAGAAATGAGAAGCAGGGGCATTAAACTATGACCTCTATGTAGTAGTAGAGAATCTTTCAGAGTTATATAAAGGGTTGCTATCCTTGCAACTGTATAATGGTAACGTGATTAAAAAGCAATTTAATTCCAAGCAAATATGTACCCCTTAAATCAGCTTTGGCTAGATATTATTTGGTCTGCTATGCTTTGAATATGTATGTAAGTACTATAAAATGCATGTATAGCCAAATAATACAAGTGCAGTACCAGATTTAGGGACACAAGAAGATCTCGTGGTATATGTTGTGCTTAGGAGCAGTGAAGAAATTAGTTCAAGAAGCATAAAGCATAAAGAGTAAACATTAATGTTCCAGAGATATTTATAGAAAGAAAAAAAATTGGCTAATACATCTGTTACCTTGAGCAGTGAACTGACAGTATAATCAAATGATTAATACTAATGATAGAATAAAACAAAATGGTGCTGAAAAATTCAGTTTGTTGAACAAGATGCAGAAAAATGTCTAGAATAATGATAGGGCATTGATTGAAGACCTAACTGTACAGCAGATGACTAGTCAGCTTCTGCTTGAATACTTCTGGAGGAGAATCTACCCACTTCCCAAACTAGTGGTTTCTGTTGTTGAACAACTCTTATCATTATGGTGTTCAATTGAACTCTATTTTCTTGCAATGTAAACTGACTATCTTATGTTCTAGAGCAACGTTGTTCAAGTCTATCTTGTTTTCTACATGAGGATCCTTTACATGTTTCAGAGACTTCCCCACTTATATTTTTGCCAGGCTAAACAAATCCAACACTTCCAACTGTTCCTCCTGGGTTTTTCCTTTTGTATTTTTCAAAATGCACAAAACAAAATATTGACAAAACACTTACAAATATTTAAACAAATACTTCGTTTTCATTGCATGAATATTTGTCAATGTCTTTCCTAAGCTGCAGTGCCAAGAACGTGGTGATGTATTCTAGATGTAATCTGAACAATGCAAAATAGAGAGGAGGAAAGTGGGGGTAGTTTTGTTGATCTTAACCCGTTCCTTCTGGGGAATGCAGTTTAGGATTTTATTTTATTTTGAGTTTTTCTGCGTAGGCATCATATTCTTGGCTCATGCTCAGCTTGTGCTTCATCAAGCTATCTCAATAATCTTCTCATGTACTGCTACCCAGTGTGGTATCCCCCATTCTGTGGACCTACTTTTAATTTTTCCTACCCAAATTATTATGTCTGTTCTACTGAAATTAATTTGTCTAGCAGCTTATGCCTATTGTTGCTGCTTGAATCACCTGAATCATGATATTGTTCTACAAGATGTTTGCTATCCTTCCTTATCTTTGTGTTGTCAAGAAATTTGATAAACTCAGTTTTAACCCCTTCTCTAATTTGGAAATATATTGAATAGCACAGGCCTGAGGAGACCTCTGCAGTACACAGCTCAACACCTCTTTCAGCTTTGATGAAGAGCTGTTCACATAAACTTGTTTGATAGGATTATTTAGCTATTTTATAGCTGAAGCCATCTGGTTTTTATTCTCTATTTGTGTTCCTTTTAACTCTTCCTAGTCCTTGTGCATTTATAATGGAAACTGCCCTCCTTTTTTTTCTTCCAGAAAATGGTATGTACTTCCACCATCTTAGATTTGAGAACTCCTCATTTTTCTAACTTAAAGCACTTTATGGATATTAAAAGGTGCTTTAAAAGTTATCCTGCAGCACCTTCAATAAAATACCACAAAAACCAGCAAAACTAAATCCACAAACATCATCAATTCTAGCATGGCAGAAATGTTAAAGCCTATAATCTCAGTCTGTAACATATATCTAGTTTTAATAAATGAATATAAACATAGAATAGTCTCACGTTGCAAACTAACAAGGCAGGGGGATTTCCCGAATAGATTCAGTTAAAATCAGTATTTTAATTGGATTGTGAAATATATCAGCAAACTGCAGATGTTGCAATATGGGAACCAAATATCTGAAGAAATTTGAAGAACTAGGCACTTGAGATTCAACACGATTAGGAGTTTTCCAATTTTATCTAAAAAGTATTTGTCATGTAATTCTCTCATTCTGCAATCCATAACTTTTGGTATGCAGTTACTTGCAATATATTGCATATTCTAATGTACATTTAATTAAATTAACAGTAAAAGCTTAACTAGGTTAATGCACAAAACTTGCATTAAATTCTGATTTTGACCAGAAACTAAATAGATTAATTCTTACCTTCTTCCTGAGCTACAAGTTCTCATTCTGTATGCAACAGATGCTAATTTGACTTATACTGAAATGGGTATTTTGCATATTTGTAGAGTCCATTGGAGTTGGGCAACTAATAAAATTGCTTTGTAAAAATTAATGGTGAAGAGAAAACATAATTTATGTTGTATATCCTGAACACATCTAATGCTATAGACTCAAAAAATATAATCTTTGTATCTTGTACACAGTGCCTGTGACATGTATATTGCAATTTCTTAAAATGAATTTCACTGTAAAGTTGCAAAAACATTTCAGCACATTGAAATTATTTTACTGTACAGGTAATCCTCAACTTACAGCCATTCTTTAGTGACCATTTGAACTTAACAAAGTGACTTATAATTGTTTTTCCACACTTATGACAATTGCAGCATTCCCATGTCACGTGATCAAAATTCAGGTGTTTGGCAACTGGCATGTATTTATGACTGTTGCAGTCTCCTGAGATCAGCTTTTGGGACCTTCTGACAGGCAGTCTCACTTAACAACTGTAGTGATTCACTTAACAACTGTGGCAAGGAATGTCATAAAATGGAGCAAAACTAACTTAGCAACTGTCTTGCTTAACAACAGAAATTGTGCCCTTAAGTTGTGGGCTACCTGAACTTGCTTCCAAGGAAGATGACCTTGATTTTAAAATTCACCCAAATAAATATATAGAAGGAAAATGAATATAAACAGAAATCTGTGCCATGTCCAGCTTATAATTTTTAACTTTGTCAGCTGTTCAATTGTCAGTTGAAATAAATGTATAAATGTTCAAAATAAATGTTTTGTAGCAACCATCAATTGACATAAAATTGCTGAGAATTTAAGTAGCAAACTCTCCATATATTTATGAATGTGTTTATAAATGTTATTTAGTACCTTAACGTGGGATACAGTCTACTTACATACGGTAGAAATAGGTAGATTGTACATAAATATACTTTATAAATATAACTTATAAGAAGGCCCTGAGAAATACAGAAATCAAGAAAATTGATGGGAGCAATATCCATAATAATATTCTCAGAAATGCTTGTGAGCAACAGAAAAAAAAATCCTTCCTTATTAAAAACCAACTAATATATTAAGAAATGCATGCACTATTAATATGTACAAAAAGTAGTAAAAGCTATTAAAAACTAACAAAATAACTTCAGATGCCTAGTATGTAGTTTTGTCTTGAAGTAAGAAGTCTCAAAATTAATAACATAATGTAGCAATCTCTAACAAAAGATTACAGTGCTCTGAAAATGAGGGCTAATGTGGAAGGAATTGCAAAGTATTTCAGAGCATAGCTGTTCTGAAGAAAGTAGGAGGAATCAAATTAACTGTCCTACAGGATTCCAGTGTACTACTTGGGCTGCTGTATCAAGAACTGACCAGTGCTGATTAAAATTTCTGAATGCAGTTATGAAGAGAACACTGTCAAAGTGAAGTTATTATTGTGAGGTCAAAAAGGAACCTTGGTCTTATCATTAATAAAGTGAAAGGAAGCAACTTTCTGATGCTGTTGACATAAAAGAGTTGAGTGTAACCTTGGAAAAAGGAATAGGTGGTTATAGAATTAGAACGATAGTATAAAAATTGGGAGAAAACCATGTAACCAAATTATTCAGTACTTAGTTTTTCATATTCAAAGACAAAAAGGTGCTTTGGAGCATTCTTTAAAGTCAAAATGTTACACAGTTCTATGGAGATTAGACGATGATGATGATGATGATGATGATGATGATGAAAATAACCTCATTGACTACCCTCACTCTGTCAAGGACCTTGGAGTACTCATATCAAATGACCTAAGTGCCAGAGCTCCCTGTAACAGCATTGCCAAAAAGGCATTAAGAGTTGTAAATCTAATCTTAAGAAGCTTTTCCTCCAGTAATATTGAATTGCTAACTAAGGCATACAAAACTTTGTTAGACCAATACTCAAATACAGCTCATCTGTCTGGAATCTGCACTATATATCGGACATTAATACAATTGAGCGAGTCCAGAAGTATTTCACAAGAAGAGTACTACACTCCTCTGCTAGCAACAGAATACCCTGGCCTATATCACCGGGCTTGAAATTTTGGGCTTGGACAATCTTGAACTACACCGCCTACAGTTAGACTTAAGCATAGTACACAAAATTATCTGCTACAATGTCCTACAACAGTGATCCCCAACCTTTTTGACGCCGCGGCCCGGTACCGGCATCAGCTGGGCGCCGCCATCTTTTTTTGATGAAAACGTGCTTCCGGTGAGCTTTCTACCCGGAAAAGCTCACCGGAAGCGCTGGCGCCGCCATCTTTTTTTGATGAAAACGTGCTTCCGGTGAGCTTTCTACCCGGAAAAGCTCACTGGAAGCACTTTTTCATGAAAAAAAAGATGGCGGCGCCCAGCAAGCCACGGCCCGGTAGGAGTTGTTCCACGGACCGGTACCGGTCCGCGGACCAGTGGTTGGGGACCCCTGTCCTACAAGTCAATGACTACTTCAGCTTCAACCACAACTATACAAGAGCATACAACAGATACAAACTCAATGTAAACCGCTCCAAACTTGATTGCAAAAAATACGACTAGCAGCAGAGTGGTCAAAGCCTGGAATGCACTACCTGACTCTGTTGTTACATCCTCTAACCCCCACTCCTTTAACCTCAGACTATCCACTATTGACCTCACCCCATTCCTAAGAGGTCTGTAAGGAGCATGCATAAATGCACAATTGTGCCTACCATCCCCGTCCTATTGTCCCCATTTATTTGTACCTATTTCCTGTGTTCTTACTCATGTTTATACTTATACCTATTATCTTGTAAGCAATTGACAAATCAAATAAATCAAATAAATACAAATAAAATAAATAAATAATTCTTGAAGAGGAGTTAGCTATCAAAAGGGTTCCTGTGTGGGAACCCAGATTCAGATTTATCCTCAGTCATGGAAACTTCATTAGGTGACTGTGGATCTATCAAATTCAGCTTAGTACGGCTAGTCCTCAACTTACAACAGTTCACTTAGTTACCGTTCAAAGTTACAGTAGCATTGAAAAAAGTGACGCATGACCAGTTTTCAGACTTAAGACCATTTTAATCATGTGATCAAAATTTGCATGTTTGGCAACTAGTATGTATTTATGACAGTTGCAGTGTTCCCTTTTGCAACTTTTTTTTTTTTTTGCAAGCAAAGACAATGGGGAAGCCAGATTTACTTAACAACATTTTGACTAATTTAACAATTACAGAGATTCATTTAACAATGGTGGCAAGAAAGTTTGTAAAATGGGCAAACTCGCTTAACAGATGTCTCACTTAGCAACAGAAATTTGGGGTCAATTGTGGTTGTAAGTCGAGGAATATCTATACACAGGGTGGGATTCAAATTTTTTAACAACCGGTTCTGTGGTCATGACTTGGTGGTCATGTTATTGGCTGGGCGTGGCCAATTCAATATCACTCACATCGAGGCACGCATCTCCTCGCCTGGCGTCCATGACTGGGGATGCTGCAGCAGTCGTAAGTGTGAAAAATGGTCATAAGACACTTTTTTCAGTGTCATTGTAACTTTGAATGGTCACTCCACACAAGCAAAGTACCAGTAAAGGAGGGGGAAAAAAACTCCAGAGAAGTTCCTGAGACAGGAAGTCTAGTCCTGCCAAGAATGTAATAAGGTTTAATGGAGAGACAGTTTCTGTAAGCAACACCAGAATGTTTCCTTCCTGCCTTCCTTACAGGATTAGGCCAGTAATTTCTTCTAACAACCGGTTCTCCGAACTGCTTAGAATGTTAACAACCGGTTCTAGCGAATAGGTGCGAACTGGTAGAATCCCACCCCTGTGTATTTATCATAAGAGTTGAGTGATTTTTAAAAATGAGCTCCTGGAAAAAATGTAGGATTAACTGGTTGGGGTTCTTTTAAATACCGTATTTGCCGGCGTATAAGACGACCCGGCGTATAAGACGACCCCCCACCACCACCGGAAACGCCCTCCAGAAATCCCCGGGGCTGCAGCGGCAGGGCGGAGTGCCAGGGGCCATGGGAAGAGCAGGAAGGCTGCAGCCTCGGGCGGAGCGAGGCGAGCGGGATGAAGCGGAAGCGACGCAGGGGATCTGGGAAGCCAGAGGCGCCTTCGCTGCGTCCAACAAGCATCCGAAAGCCGGCAGTGGATATACCGGCGTATAAGACGACCCCCCCACTTGGAGGCATGTTTTTCAGGGCAAAAAAGTTGTCTTATACGCCGGCAAATACGGTATATTGTTGAGTAATATGGACAGTGCATTGGGTCTCCAGTGGAGCCATGCAGCAGTTTAAGATTGTTAAAATGCTCTATTTCAAGTCACAAATAATAACTCTTGGTTTTCTCTTCATTTTTCTGTATTACTTGCTCCTGTTTTACTTGTTCTTCCACCAAATGCTTGTATCCAATTTTACTGCTGCTTCTAAATTTTAACTCTACAAGTAGGCTGATATTTAGCAACAAAGCTAAAGATATATTTGAATCAGATACCAGCTTTTAGAATAGTTCATATTTCTCCTTCTGTGCCTTTATTGAAGAAGCTGTCTGTTACACAAATAGCTCTTAGCAACCTCTTCCTCCTTCAGACCGGTTGCTAATTACAGCTATGTTTCCATAGCCAAGGGTAATTTTATACCCATAGGATCAGTTTTCTCTATTTTACATATCTGTGTAGCTATAACACAGTATTTGCTTTTTCCTTAAAATGTTATTCATATGAAACACATTGCTAGTTGCAATTATAACATGACTATGATTTTATTTGTGCAGCATTAAATATATGGTGTTCAGGAAAGTAGTATCAAAATGAGGCTGTGTTTTGCAGCATTTCTTGTGCCATCTCCTTTCCTCTGGGAACCAACATTTGCACCTGGATTCCTGAGGATGAAGTACTTTGTTTAGCTTTCTGAACAGTAATTGTTCTGCCAATGTCACATTTTTTAGTGTGCTTTTATTTTTCTTATTTTGAAGATATATTTGGAAACTCGGGTTGTGTATTTCATATTGATTCTTACACTGGTTTGATTGATCAGTAGTCTGGTTTCTACTCTACAACAGTGTTTGAATTGTGATATTTCTGGGCTCAGGTGCTTATGGAGCTGTTAAAGGAAGTGTTACAGCCTTTGTAGAAGAATTAGTGATTTGAATTTTGAATGTATACTTGTTTTTCTTTCTGAAGCAGCATTAACATATATTTTTAGGCAAACAATAATATGGTTGGCTTGTATGTTCGGAACATTAAGAGTGTCATGCCTTATGCAACACACAAGTTTATTGTTATGGCTGTGATCCTGTTGAGCAAGTTTTGCTACAGACTTCAGGAAATATAAATAAGAGAAATGTGGACCATTATTGTATATTACACAGAGTTCTCTAATGCTATACTCTGATTATGTATTGTAGCGGTTTTTTTAAGACCAGATGCATACTGGAACGATGGATGGTTGGCCTATTTAGTTTATTTTTAGCTTACAGTTGCTCTGCCCAAATCATTTTTAAGCCATTTTAGGGGAGAATGGGAAATGTGAAGAGCCTTTTTTATTTTATTGTCACTTGGGCACTTGGGTTAAAAAATGTTTGAGTGATATGATTTTGTGCTTGTGTCATTGAAGCAGACTACCTTAATTCTAATACCAAAAAGAAAGAGGAGAATAAATTAGAAGGAAGTATGAAAGGAAGTACTGTAGTAATATTCTATTCTAGAGCAAGAATTGCTTTTGTAATGGTGTTTTGCCACCTGTGTATAGCTAACTAAAATGCTGGCTAACAACAGAGTGATATGCTAGAACAGGGGTGTCAAACTCACATCGTCATGGCGGCGAAATGTGACGTATCGGGATTTTTTCCCCCTCTTCGCTGAACCGGGCGTGGGCGTGGCCAGCACATGACAGCCCTATGCTAGAACATTATTTTAGCATTTAAATAAACATAGAAACTATGACATTTAACCTTATAAACTTCAAGAGTCTTTTTTCCGCTATGTGTTCTAAATGGTCTATGATTAATATGTGTGTGTGTATCTGTGTGTGCATGACACGTGTGTTTGTGTGTATAGTTTTGAGAGTGGGAATCAGAATTTCATTTTTTAATGTGTGCCTGTATATTCACAGAAAAATGTGACAATAAAGGTTATCTTATCTTTATAGATAATCTTGTAGGAAAGAGATATTTATTTGCTTCAATGAAGTGACATAGTTAGAAGAAGGCTTTTGAGCATCAGCTGATTCTTATCTAAGAGATCTGTGGTATTTGATTCTGGTCAGACTTCATTTGCAGGAAGAATACATTGATATTGCCTTAAGAGATGATTATACTGTTATCCAAGTCTAAGCGTCTAGAGCAGGGGTCTGCAACCTTAAACAATCAAAGAGCCATTTTGACCCATTTTCCACAGAAAAGAAAACACCAGGAGCCACAAAACCTGGGGGGCATGGCCAACTCAATATCACTCACTCCCACCAGTCACATGACCCTCTCAGCCACGCCTACCCAGGTTTTGTGGCTTCTCTGTCTCTCTCTCCTCTCTTTCTCTCTCTCCTCCCTCCCTCTCTCTCTTCCTCTCTGTATCTCTCTGTCTCCCTCTCTTTCTCCCTCTCTCATCTCTCTCTCTTTCTCTCTCTCTTTCTCTCTCTTTCATCTCTCTCGCTCATCTTTCTCCCTCTCCCTCTCTCTTTCTCCTTCTCATCTCTCTTTCTTTCTCATCTCTTTCTCACTCTTTCTCCCTCTCTTTAATTTCTCTCTTTCTCTCTCTTTCTCATCCCCCTCTCTTTCTCATCCCTCTCTTTCTCCCTCTCTCATCTCTCTTTTTCCCTCTCTCCTCTCTCTCTCTTGTGTGTGTGTGTGTGTGTGTGTGTGTGTGTATGTGTGTGTGTCTGTGTTCCCTCTTGAACCATTTCCAAACACGAGGGTTGCGGGGTTTTTTGGCTGATGTTATTGGGATTTTTTGGGGCTGATGTTCTTTCTTCTTCTTTATTATATGATTTAAATCAAGAGACATTTCAGGTTCCCAGATAAATGAAGCTCTTTTGTCCCCCTGATGTGGCTTCCTTTTGACTGAACCCACCACTGGCAGGCACCGCCCCTCCCCCTCCCCTTCACTTCTCGCTTGCCCTGAGAAGCTAAGGTGATGGTGGCTGATGGAGACTCGCTCCATATTCCAGAGTGGGAGTGAAGTGCTTCCTCTTCTTCTGCCCTTGTTGGTGCTGTGCACACCTCAGTCACTTGGGGAAGCATGCAACTTTCTCTCCAACCCGAGACACTGGCCCAGCCCAGCTGCAGCCGATGCTCTGCATCATAATGGGCTCCAGGAGGAGGAGGGGACGCTGTCTCCCTCATTGTGAAGCAAGCTAAATTTAAGTGTGCTGTGCAAGGTGCTGCAACAGCAGTGAGCAGGCCATGGAGGCAGTGAGAGGAATATGGGGAGACACACATCTTTCTCTCTGCCCCGAGACACTGGTCTGGTTTGGCTGTGGCTGACACCACTGCTCTCACCACCTCCATGGCCTGTTTGCTACTCTTGCAGCACTTTGCACAGCACACTTAAATTTAGAGCACTTCACAATGGGGGAGATGGTGTTCCCTCCTCTTCCTGGAGCCCATTATGATGCATAGCATCATCTGCAGCTGGGCCGGGCTGAGCGTCTCCCTGAGCGAGTGAGGTGCGCGCAGCACCAACAAAGGCCGGAAGAAGAGGCAAGTAGAGGGGTGGTTCACTCCCACCTTGGAATACGGAGCAAGTCTCCATCCGCCGCCATTGCCCTTACCTTCTCAGGTGAGAAGTGACTGCGAGGGAAGGGTGAGAGGCGGGGCCTCCAGTGGTGGGATCATCTGACAGGGAGCCACAGGAGAGGGCTCAAAGAACCGCATGTGGCTCTCGAGCCGCAGGTTGCCAAGCCCCACTCTATAGCATGGGTGACCAAGCTCTTGGCTTGCCTAGGCTGCATTGAGTGAAGAGGAATTGTCCTGGGCCACATTTAAAATATACAATATAGTTAGTGTATATAACTCACACAATAATATTAAATGATTACAATCTTGTGGGGTTACATTACTAGCTGTCCAGAGCCATATGTGACAGGGGGCTGGGCCCGCATGCTGTAGAGCAGGGGTGTCAAACTCTAGGCTTGGGTGCTGGATCCGGCCCGCAGGGCCGCCCTGGAAAAAAATGAATGACTAGCCCGCAGTGCCTCTGCCAGCAAAAATGGAGCTCAGGATGGCTGTGCACGGCCGTCCGAGCTCCATTTTCGCTGGCAGAGGGCTGCAGGAGGCCATCGCAGCCAAAAACAGAACCTGGGTGGCCACATGCACCCCTCTTGAGCTCTGTTTTGCTCTGTTTTTTCTGGCAGAGGGCTAGCAAAACAAACTACTAGCAAAAGTGCATTTGATCACAAGGTAAGGAGGCATGGAGAAATTCCTCCCCTGGAGACAATGGATCCACCCAGCCCTGCCTGGGCCATCATGTGGGGCTGGCCAAGCCCTCTCCAGCCATGCCCTCCCAGCTCCTGAGATCAAACACAACCCTGAGGTGGCCCTCAATGAAATTCAGTTTGATACCCCTGTTCTAGAGGATCAATTCCATAAGGGTTATATTATATACCTTATTGGGAAATTATAACTATTAAATTTAACGGGCAATAAGATTGTGAGAAATATGGTGTCCAGAAATAAGTTTCTAGGAAGAAACTTTCTTGGAAGAAAGGGAAAGAGTGTTTGCTGAATAATGTAAGCTACAGGAACAGGGACTAAAATGTATTTGCAATTGTCTTTACAGCGTGTCTTCAATGACCTCAGTGGCTCAGTGTCCCTTTCCTGGATTGGAGATAGCACTGGAGTAAGTAATAACATTGGTTGAGCAGATATTTTAAGTATTCAGACGGAGCAAAAGTATAATATATGAAATAGTTACATGCAGTGACTGGTTTCATACTTTCAAATAAAGATGCTTTTGCCTTAACCTTCCCACATAAAAAAGAATTACAGTATTTTTGGCTGGTGGGTGATAAGAAGTTATTCTCTACAGCTGCAAGCTATTCTAGTTCTTCTTTTAAATATTGCCATCTTTCTCATGAACAAAGAACTATTGTGGGTGTTTTGTTGTGTAAATGAAGTGACACACAGGTTTGGTAAGTAACATCTATCTACCCATTCAGGGTTGTGGTGATAATTGCTTCAGTGATGAAGCCTTGTTGATGTGGAGAAAAAACCCACATATTTCTTAATATCCTCCACAGACCTGTTGCTTGTTTACCTCACACTGAAAGAGAATGCTGCAATTCGAGCATTTTTTTATTTGTATAATTTTGACAATCCTTAGACACAATTAAGGTTATCCATTGTACAGTGTAGGGCAGGTGACAATAGTAGGAAGGATCATACAAATTGTCAGCTGACTTCATGGAGAGTTGGATTTAATCCAGCATATTGAGAGAAGAATTAGGAAGAATCACATATGTTTTTCCAGTTCTTCCTTTTAAACCAGGAACAAAAAGAGACACTGGGGAAGTACGCAGTAGCAGCTGATGTAATTTTGCCAACTTCCTTTTCTTTCTTTCAAAGATAATAGAATCTTAATGTAGTTTTTTCTGTTTGCTTCTCATACTCCTTTATTTAAACTACTAACAGTATCAATAACTAGGCCAACATTTATCTGCAACTAAAAAGCAGACACTTCCAATTAATAATGTGTTAAGATTGGGAATGTGTTTTTTGGGGGGGAGAAGAAGGAACAAAATATCAAATTCTAAACATATTTATTAATGTCTTAGTCTCATCAGTATACAATTCAGGTATTTACACCGTTTCAATAATCAAAAGGCAAGTGGACATTCCAGAAAAAAATGCACATTTAAAAAAAGATTGCCAGTCAAATATTTTATACTTAGACAAGTGGATTATCATATATTAGATCTGATACATTTCAAAGCTATATCAATATTTTTTTAAACTAACAGTCTACTGACTGTTTAAGTTCCACTTTTGATTAAAGACTTGCATTTCTAATGAATAGCTAGAAATAAGGGAGAAAATTTGTTCCTATTGTGATATTGTACACTGAATAACTTAATATACTATAGCACAATTTGGAGTCTAATGATAGCTACATTTGATACTATTCCGTAAAGTTCTATCTAGAGAATTAACTTGACACATTATTTTATTTTGTTATGAGGACTTAAAAAAATTATCCTTCCTTCAGCAAATAAAAGGAGAAATAGGTGATGGTTTGGGATAGGAATTTAAGCATTAGATAACTGAAATAACAAGGAGAAGATTTTTTTTTTTTCATAAGATGATCTAATTTAATAGCAAACTGTAATATATAACATCTAATTTTTGAAATGAACATGAAATTATTTCTAGGGAATTATTCAGCTGTCTGTATAAGTTCTGTTTGCTTGATCTACCTTTTGAATAGTCATACTATGAGTATGCTGAAATGTGGCTGAAACCAGTTCAGCCTGATAGAAACCAATCGTTAGCCAGATCCCTTTTATTATCTTTTCTATGTTGCATCTATTATAGTAATTAAACTCTATTAAAATAGTTAAATAACATTAAGACAAGGTTTCTTTCTTGGACTAATCTGAGCTAAATATTAACCTTTCCATTTCTGTTTCCAGGTTATTCTTGTGTTGACTACTTTCCAGCTTCCCCTAGTGATCATGAGCTTTGGTCAGTCTAAATTATACCGAAGGTAAAGATGTTATAGTTGTCTATAGTTCTATGTAAATATATATTTATTATATTTTTCTTTCTTTTTAAAAGATAGTATTTCTTCTATGCCCAATTGCTACAACAGCCTTCTCTGGTTCCATCCATAAAGTGCTGGGTAACCTGCTTTTTTCAAAAGCTGTTTTCCTGTAAATACGTATAGTTTTTCATGATTAACTTTTAAACAATGGCACTATAAACCTGTTTTCATTGAAATAGGAACATGTTGACTCAGGATAATTTTTATCTTAATAGATTGTCAAATATAATCCATCTCCTTCCTCTGCCTGTTGGAAATCCTTCAGAAGAGCCCCCCTTTTGACTACTAGTATAGTTAATAAAACTTTGAGATAAGGTGAAGGCCTCACCTACCTATTAACATTCCATATATTTCATGCTAGGATTTCAGCCATGTATTTTTTTTTCTCAGGTGGAAACAAGAAATATTGGTTTAGACTTTTTCCTCCAATATTTACTTTGGTGTGGCTAACTCTTCCTGCTTTTCCATTTTTCAGTTGTTATGTAGAACAAGTTGCACCAGAGAGGTGAAGCCTGAAGGGGTAGTTCTTTTAGAAAAGAATTGCTCCTGCAAAGGGTAGGCATGTGGTACAGTGGTAGATTTGCTTCCAGCTTCAAGAATCCAACAGGCAGAAAAGAGATTTACTGGCATGGGGTCATAGGTTAATTATTATTTGCAGTGGAATGGGAAAAGAAAGAATTGAAAGGCCTGTTGCTCCAGAGCAGAGTTCCTCAGTGGCCGCAATTTTAAGGTATGGACTTCAGCTCCCAAAATTGCCCAGCCAGTGCTAGGAGTTGAAGTTCACATTCTTAAAATTTCTGAGACTGTGAAACACTGTTCTAGCACAATCCTAATACAGAATCTTGCATGCAGTAGTTACTGTGTAGATCCTACTAGATATGTTGTGAAAACCCTTCTTTAACAGAATCATCAATGCTGCTAAAATTATTTTACAAATATCAAGCCAAATGTTCCTTAGACGTTTAGTAGAACATGCCGTTTATGATTATGGTCCCTGCTTTTACAATAGGTACAGATTTATGGATTCTAAATAGCATATTTTTACAGTTTAATTGAATGCTCATTTTAATTTGTAATTGTGTTAACTATTTTGATGTTACCTGAAAGTGAGAGGAATTTTAAAATGTGGGAGCTATTTTATATGATAAAGTGTAGTAGCTGTATCTGTGTAAAGGATAATTTTCACTGCAGTGTGTTTTTTTAGATATTTGTACACATATATGAACGTTCTATTATTGTGCACGTATTTCATCATTGAACTAAATCATGCCATAGAAAACCTCTTAAATGATTTTTACATTGTTTACTTTTATATTTTTCCAGTTCTTTGTGATATTTATTTTATTGCATCAATAATTTTTGTCCTTACTTTGTCTTTTTTCCCTTTTATCTTAGCGAAGATTATGGGAAAACTTTCACAGACATTACAGATCTCATTAACAACACTTTCATCAGAACAGAGTTTGGAATGGCTATTGGGCCAGAGAATTCTGGGAAGGTAGGAACAATTGGTTATTACAATATAATCTAAACTGTTTGTTAGCCTTATTCTTCTTGATAAAAATTGAAGTCTTGAGACTTCAAGGGTCTAAAATGGCTGCATTTTAATAATTTAGCTTGGTATTGGAAAATAGATTTAAAGTGGTACTTGAGCTTTAACATGGCTAGAACCTAAGTGGATTTAAGTTTATTACTAGTTTTCCAGCGGTTGCTACTTGCCAAGACATTCTAGAGAAGTAGTGCAAAAAACTGACTGGGCCCATCCTTCGCCTCTGATCATCTACTGAATAGCAATAGTACTTAGACTTATATAGAACTTCACAGTGTTTTACAGCCCTCTCTAAGTGGTTTACAGAGTCAGCATATTTTCCCAAACAATCTGGGTCCTCATTTTACTGACCTTGGAAGGATGGAAGGCTGAGTCCACTTTGAGTAAGTCAGGATCAAAGGAATCAAACTCTTGGCAGTGAACAGAGTTAATCTGCAATACTGCATTCTAACTACTGCGCCACCACAGCTTCATGAACCTAACAGATAGGGCCAAAAATATTGACTTTTTCTTGGTTTTTAAAAGGTCAAGGGAAGATTTGAGCAAACTGTGTTTCTTAAGCTTATTTGGATTCCTAACTATCACTTTCCACGCTTGGATTGTGTTTCTTGATGTGCTGTTCAATATCTGGGGAGCTGTTGACCTGAAGAAACTTGGGCAGCTCTGCAATGCAACCTTACAACCTTACTAGTTAGAGCAGGCTAGTATCATCTAATTCTTCTTTCCCCTTCTTGCTGCACATTATATTAAACTGTATAGGACTTGTCTGTCATTAATGGGGAGATAGAGTTATGGTTGTGATTTCTCTAACTTGTACTGGATTTTAAATTACTGTCATTAGTTCGCTTCCACAATTAAATAAATGTTTTTGCTCCCAACACAGTTTCATCCTACATTATTGAGTCTGTCCATGGATATATTATAGATAAGATGTTTCTTTCAATGACACTCCTATCAGAGGGATAAGCAGGAATAGTTTAATTTTTTAGAGCTTTCCTGAATGGGTTTCATAAAACCCTTCGGCGTAGCAAAGCAGTTCCTTTTGTCATCACAAAAGTCTTGCATTACCTTAAAATTTCTAATTCTACTTATGCTTATTTTTGTTTTTTTCAGGGACTTATATTGTCCTTTAAAAAACCCAAAGCTATGGATTCAGACATACTAGTTTTAACACATGATAAACTGGCAGTGTGGATGAGCTCCTATGTGAATGTTTAGAAGATGATTCTCATTTTTACTTTTCCATCTGTCTAGGTGATACTGACTGGGGATAGATCTGGACATAGATCTAGTGGAAGAATCTTCCGATCGTCTGATTTTGCAAAGAATTTTGTACTAACAGACCTTCCTTTCCATCCTTTAACTCAAATAATTTATCACTCTCAGAATTCTGATTTGTTATTGACCCTCAGTACAGAGGTAAGATTTGGAGAAAGGGGATGGAGGTATCTTCAATTGGTGTAGCAATTGAAATTGTGATCTTGTGATCTAAAATGAAGTATATTGGGGGGGGGGATGATTTTGAATGACTACTTATAGTCACAATTTTTATGTAAAAAATATATATGTTCTCCGTTAGACTGCTGCAACAGTCCAGGTTAGGTAAAACTCCGCCTCCTTCATCTTGTGACTGAGTCTGCCAAGCTGTTTAGCCCTGCCTCCGTTGCCACAGTTACCCAGCTTTCGACTCAGTCCCTCGTCGGAACTGGTCGTGTCTGCACTCTCTCTAGAGCAGTGGTTCTCAACCTTCCTAATACCGTGACCTTTTAATACAGTTCCTCATGTTGTGGTGACCCCCAACCATAAAATTATGGCTCAGTTCCTAAGACCATTGAAAATATGTGTTTTCCAATGGTCTTAGGGGACCCCTGTGAAAGGGTCATTCAACCCACAAAGGGTTTGCGACCCACAGGTTGAGAACCACTGCTCTAGAGCATAGCAAGCAAATCAACTTTAATTTGAACTTTGACTGTTTTAATCGGCGTTGGACTTTAAATCCTGCTCCTGGGAACCCAGTAGAGTGAGCGCACCGCCGCAAAGGGTTGGGAAGGGCTCTTCCCTCCCCAGGAGTGATTCCAGGGCCGGAGCTTCATCTCTATATAATCATTACTGATGATTATTCAGATATTAGGACAGCACTGAATTAGGACAGCATTGGATAAATTGTGATTATGACTTGTCCTCAGAGTTCTGGCCATCTTTGCAGTCATATGATTGCGATCTGGCCATTTGCTAACTGGCTTACACTTGGGACCGGTTGCAGCACCCCATGATCACATGATCTCAATTTTCAACCTTCCCTGATGATTTCTTCAGAAGGTCAGTGGGGAAACCGGCAAGGGAAGTTACAAATTGCTGAGTAAATCTGCAGGGATTGCTGTCACTAAGTGATGTGGTCATGTTTTACATCTTCATCGAAATTCAGCTATCAACTGCTGTTTTAAGTCAAGAGCTACCTGTATTTATATTCTGCTTTTCCTTATGGAGCTCAAAGAAGGTTTTTCTTCATTTTGCCTTTATAACATCAATTCCACGAGGAAGGTGGGGTTAAGAAATAGGGATTGGTCTAGAATCAAACTTGGGACATTTTATAATACATGGGCCACATCTGGCAAGTCTCAGTCCGGTTTGTGTTATCAGTAGTGTTGGTGGCAGGGTCTGGGGTTTCATCAGAATCAGCATCAGTGTGTTGATGGGGGTGGGGGCGGGGGGCTAGTGTCAGTGCAGTGTTGGCAGTGGGAGGTTAGGTGTCTGCAGCTTAGAAATTGGGATGTTAGCAATGGGGAGTGAGGCAGAAATGGCAGGGCCCTTCCACAGCGAACCCAGATTCTCATGTCACTCCTTTGGAAAATTAATTGCCCACCCCGGCCTAGATTGAACAAGTCCTTTTCTTTGAGGGGTGTAAAACATTATACATTTGATTGAAGTATGATTAAGCTTCTTTGGCCAATTTAAGTTGATAGACTTATATTACATAAGCTTCAGTTGGTCCAGAATGATAGGACCACATCTGGGAAGGTCTGGTTTTCAGGAATATGCAAATTCTTTTTATTTCTAGAGTTTAACTAGTTTCTGCTCTGTTTCTGGGCACATTTCAAAGTGCTGGGTCTGGACTTTCAATGATTTAAGCAATTAGGTCCAGTATGTTAAAAGAACATTTTCAAAAGATCCATCAAACTATTCTTTACGTTCAACACATTTGACCTTTATTGAGGCCATGTTCTTTGGAATGTCTGCTAAGAGAGGTCCCCTTCTGCTACTGGAATTCATCTGGTTCTTCTTCTCAATCTTACATTTGGCCTAGTGAGTTAAAATGATTTTTAAATGTTTCCTTTTTTGCTTTCTATTCATCTTCGTTTACTTCATTAATTGTTTTACATCAGCAATTTTTAATAAATTGCTCAGATTAGGTTACAGTTTTATCCCTACACTATAAACATAAAAATGTGTCACTTGAATATGATGAATCAATAATAAGCAACTTTTTCTAAATGTTCCAGGGTAGCTTGTGGATATCAAAGACATTTGGTGAGAAATGGAAAGAAATCCACAAAGATGTTTGCTTGGCCAAATGGTAAATTTCTTAATGAATGCTATCCAGGGAAAAGTGGTAGTTTAATATATATATTAAATGAGCTTAAATGTATATTGAAGGTTTAATGTATATTAAAATAATTTAAGTGTATATTAAAGGTGCTATACCTGGTAATTTGTAAAAACATGAAGAAAGCTGTTGAGAAAAATGTTTACTGTTATTTTCTCAGTTACAAAAAAGCAATTAAAGACTTTATTTAGGATTACCATTTGTAGCATATGGTACATAGTACATAGCAAGAACTCTATAAAGAGCCAATTCGTTAAATTCAAATGCATTGCTTTTGCTAATTTTCATCTTGAGTATACCAGGGTCATTTAATGAGTAGATATAAAACAGGTGGGGAGATAACCACAGGCCAACATAGGAGAGACAGATTTGGAACTAACATTTCCAAATAAAAGTATTACATAATTGAGAAAAAAAACTTTTGCACAAGACCTTGGGAAGTTGTTGCTTCGTAGCATAGTGATAAACCAATGGTCTAATTTATATAGAAGTGAACTTATTATAGTGTGACTGTTACTTTCAGTGAGGCTTATCGATGGATTATTTCATGCAATCCTAACACTTTTTCTGCCACTTGATGCATTTTTAACTTTCAAAAATCTTAACTTGGCTTACTAACTAGATACAATTTGTGACAACTCATCTCTCTGGATATAATGTTGCCCAAACTGATGCCCTCCAGATATGCTGAACTAAATCCCTCATAATTCTCCAGCCAATTTATTGAAAATTCAGAGAACTGAAATATCCATATTTGGAGGTTACATTACAGCATTCCTGAAATTGAATTTCAAAACAACTGGAAAACTTGCTCTATGCTGAAATTAAGATGATACTTTCACACCATTCTGATCTGATGTTGATTTAGTGGTTTCTATGTCTACACAAAGTGTTATCACCTAGCCCAGTGTAGTAACAGAATCTGGTTAATTGTAGGTTATTTAATAAATCATAGTGAAGCTATAATTTAATGTGATATATGAAGTCATTCCACATAATTGAAGTCCCAATTGTTTAGTTAGCCTACATGTTTCTGCCATTACACTAATTATATTCTCTTGACCTTTAATAGGGGTTCTGGTGGAACCATCTTCTTTACTACCTACCTGAATGGCTCTTGTAGTAAGTAATCCTTAATATAATAAATAGAGCTACTTCAGTTTAGAGCTTTTTTGGCAGATTTTTGTGGATCCTTTTCTTTGAGTCCACAGCCTCAAGAAGTCTTGACCATAGCTTATTCACCTGCAGTAATGTGGGAAAATCATTCTTGCTAAATGTATATATTTGTTTATCAATATTTGGAATTTTTCCCCTGGAATCCACCCATAGAAAATTGTAATTATAAAAAGTCACTGTCTTGTGAAACAAGAGTTTGTCATTTAAAAAGGCCTCACTAAACATAGTGGGAAGTGTCAAAACTTTAGCTGGTTTGCTAGTATGTAGGAGTTACAGCAGTTCTGTTTTTTTTTCCTTCTTTTTTATTAACCTTTTCTGCTGCTGATGCATTTCCAATTTACAGAACTTTTGCCTAGTAAATAGGTATTTATTGCCTTTAAATGGCATAAAATTAACTTTTGATTGTGATATTGAAGGGAGTTTTAGAAGAGAGGGATTTGACATATGACTCTGGGTTTTCACGTTTTCCCTTTTTCAAATTACTTATGAATAATACCTAAAGTTTATAAGTATGAAGATAAGAACAAGTATAAATCTGACTAGCCATATTGAAAAAAAAACACCATTGTATCACTGAAACCATAATCAAGACAGCAATAATTAATTTTTCTTCCTTTCCCATGACATATTGCAATGATTATTGCATGAAATGTAACAGAGGAAATTTAAGTAGCTAATTCTTTTTTAACTAAAAAAATGTAGTTTCTGTTCATGAGCGATGGTGAGCAATAAAAGAATCTTATTATCTCTATACAACATGTCGACGTCTGCAAAATGGAAGTCTATGTATATGAATTCTTTCTTCAGATGCTCTTGTTCAGTACACAGGCTGGGTTCCTACACAAAGTTGGGATGAGATTAGCTGTTCCTTTAGCATGTCATGGAGGGAATTATCTGTTTTCTAAATGGAACGATCTTAATGCATCTACTTCTCTTCTGAAGAAACTGATATCGGATTATTGGACTTAAAGAAAACTAAAGACTTTGGGAAGACATTCAAGACCATAGGAAACAACATCTACTCCTTTGGCCTAGGTGGTCGTTTTCTTTTTGCATCTGTGATGGTAGAAAAAGTAAGAAAACTATTCTTGGGCTTCTTTTGTGTTTCTATAGACTTGTTGCCTTCGTTTGCATCATGCTCTTTTTTTTCTTTCCTCTAATGCAATGTCCCCAAACTGTGAGCCGTTGAGGTATTGCGAGAAGTCCACAACAAATATAATAAACAAGAAACAAAATAAAAATAAAAAACAAATCATAGTTCTTCCACTAGTGCAGATGCTGATGGAAAAATATTTCACTGGTTGATGTGAGTGGAAAGGAGACAAATACTCAACTGCCTAGGAGAAAGATTGGAGAAATAGCACCAAACAATTTGGTCTGGTTCTTCCTCTTTCCTGGCCTGCATCGGTAGTTTTGTTCCTCCCAAAATATACAATATCATATGCATGAGTTTTCCCCTACAGCCCAAGTATCATGGTTGGCTATGAAATCCCTAGATGTTGCCAGATGTTTTCACCTTATAATCAGTATCACTGTTCTGTATTGTCTATAGCCTCCTCTCCCTCACACAGCTAGCCTGTTATCTACCAGATCTTCCTACCAGGTATCCCATCTGTTGAAGGTTCTTTTATATATATTCCTCCATCTATACATTTTGGCACCTTCAGCCTCAAGGTCTAAAGTCCTACTAATGGCTGTTCCTACCGTTTCAAATTTAGGAAGCAAAGACTATTCTACAGAAGTTGAGAAGATACTCTCAGTGCACACATATCATTTCCATCACCATAATTCCAGCATCCCCATTGCCAAAAGCTCCTTCGTTCAACTAGTGACCACTACCAAGCACATACTGGTGTTTACTTGTCTGAACGGACCAGACCTGAGGCCCAATTGAGCCCCAGAGGACTTTAACTTCATTTTGCGTGCCCTAAGTGTTTGTTATATTTTCTCAAAGACAAGCCTGCTCTAATGTGCAAGTTCTTTGAAATTCTGTAATTGCTTAATAAACAGGATTTTTTTTTAAGTTATAAAAACAATATATCATTATAAACATTTTCTAGTTGTTTTATCTTATGAACAGCTTCTTCGTAAATGAATATGGATGGTTTTAGAGAAAAGAAATATTTTTGCTTTGTCTAGACCAAGACAAGGAGAATCCATGTGTCACTAGATGAAGGTGAAACATGGAACATGGCTCAACTTCCTTCAGTTGGACAAGAACAATTTTACTCTATTTTGGCAGCGAATGATGACATGGTGTTCATGCATGTGGATGAACCTGGAGGTGAGAGGGAATACAAAGTGGGTGATGTATCATTTAGTATATCCAAATTTTGTTTGATTATGGTTACAAAATTGCATTTTAAAAGAAAAAAATGGTTCTCTAAATTGTCATTATTATATAGGCACAAAGATTTTACCTAAGACAAAAGTGTTTGAATTGCATATTTAGTAAATAGATTTCCAGCAGATTTACAAATTGTTGTTTTGAGAATCTGTTCCCAGTGTCAGTATAGTATATATAAACATGTGGGCTTCCTCACAACTTTCTTTTCCATGCCAATTTAAACCAGGGGTCTCCAAACTTGGCAACTTGAAGAATTGTGGACTTCAACTCCAGCTATGCTGGCTGGAGGATTCTGGGAGTTGAAGTCCACAAGTCTTAAAATTGCCAAGTTTGGAGACCCCTGGTTTAAACAAATACATTGTAAGAACATGTTGTGGAGTATCAGGTAAGAACCAACGCCCTTTTTACTTAGGTAGAATTCATGTAGTTCTTCATTTAGCGTACTATTACTGCAATAGGTTTTAGGCTGATCTAAAATACAGATTGTATGCAGGAGTTTCCTAATAACTTACAGCTTGTTGGTGAATTATGATACAACTTAAAACCACCGTCTATAAAATGCTGTTTCTCACCTTTCAATTTGCTATTTCTTTCCCAGATACTGGACATGGAACAATTTATACCTCTGATGATCAAGGCATTATATACTCCAAGTCCCTGGAAAGGCATCTCTATACTACCACTGGGGGAGAGACAGATTTTACCAATATAACTTCCCTACGAGGCACCTATATTACCAGTGTGCTTTCAGAGGGTGGGTTTTCATTTTTAAATTTCTTTAATTGTCACTGAAAGTTTATAGAATTGCTGAACTCTGTTAAGAAAATGATTAAAATATTTGGATACAATTTCATTTAGAATCAAAGAAATACTCCTGTTATTTTAAGTAATATATCGAGACAGTGTTCTTGTGGACCACTTTTATAAAACTCTTAATTGTAATTAATTAGCTTTTTGGCAGTGATTGTTTCTCTGATATTGATTAGAACTATTTAATTTCTGCCTGAAGTTAAAGCTGTTTACATTACTTGTGAAAAGTAAGAAGATAAGATTAATATGTGCCAAACTGTGATGTAAGGCAAGCAATTTCTGTAGATGGTGATCAGAAGTTTTATTCAGAGTAGAAATGTCAAGCTGCAGTGTAAAACTTTGAAATTCTATATGGCAATTACGTTTTATTCAAACCAAAAAAATAACACTTCTGCATAGAAGTGACTCAGAAATAAACAAACAAAAACCATCAAATGTTATGGATTTTTTTCTTTTTCTTCTTTCAATCAGATAATTCAATTCAGTCTGTGATTACCTTTGATGAAGGAGGGGAATGGGTACACTTGAGGAAACCAGAAAATGCTAAGTGTGACTCAACAGCCAAAAATAAAGAAAAGGTTTGTTTTTTAATGTGTTAGCAAAGACGAGGTATAAACTTAATAAATGTTGATAAGCAAAAGAAGTAGGCAGGCCCAGACTAACTTTTACTGCAATCAAGAGATGCTGTAATGTTAAGATGTTACATGAACAAAATAGATATACACTGCTCAAAAAAATAAAGGGAACACAAAAATACGACATTCTAGATCTGAATGAATGAAATATTCTTATTAAATACTTTGTTCATTATATAGTTGAATGTGCTGACAACTCACACAAAAATTATCAATGGAAATCAAATTTAGCAACCCATGGAGGTCTGGATTTGGAGTTACACCCAAAATTAAAGTGGAAAAAAACACTACAGGCTGATCTAACTTTGACGTAATGTCCTTAAAACAAGTCAAAATGAGGCTCAGTAGTGTGTGTGGCCTCCACGTGCCTGTATGACCTCCCTACAACGCCTGGGCATGTTCCTGATGAGGTGGTGGATGGTCTCCTGAGGGATCTCTTCCCACACCTGGACTAAAGCACTCCTGGACAGTCTGTGGTGCAATGTGGCGTTGGTGGATGGAGCGAAACATGATGTCCCAGATGTGCTCAATTGGATTCAGGTCTGGGGAACGGGCAGGCCAGTCCATAGCATCAATGCTTTCGTCTTGCAGGAACTGCTGACACACTCCAGCCACATGAGGTCTAGCATTGTCGTGCATTAGGAGGAACCCAGGGCCAACCGCACCAGCATATGGTCTCACAAGGGGTCTGAGGATCTCATCTCGGTACCTAATGGCAGTCAGGCTACCTCTGGTGAGCACATGGAGGGCTGTGCGGCCCCCTAAAGAAATGCCACCCCACACCATTACTGACCCACTGCCAAACCAGTCATGCTGGACGATGTTGCAGGCAGCAGAACGTTCTCCATGGCGTCTCCAGACCCTGTCATGTCTGTCACATGTGCTCAGTGTGAACCTGCTTTCATCAGTGAAGAGCACAGGGCGCCAGTGGCGAATTTGCCAATCTTGCTGTTCTCTGGCAAATGCCAAACGTCCTGCACGGTGTTGAGCTGTAAGCCCAAACCCCACCTGTGGACGTCAGGCCCTCATACCACCCTCATGGAGTCTGTTTCTGACTGTTTGAGCAACCACATGCACATTTGTGGCCCGCTGGAGGTCATTTTGCAGGGCTCTGGCAGTGCTCCTCCTGTCCCTCCTTGCACAAAGGTGGAGGTAGCGGTCCTGATGCTGGGTTGTTGCCCTCCTATGGCCTCCTCCACGTCTCCTGATGTAATGGCCTGTCTCCTGATAGCGCCTCCGTGCTCTGGACACTACGCTGACAGACACAGCAAACCTTGCCACAACTCGCATTGATGTGCCATCCTGAATGAGCTGCACTACCTGAGCCACTTGTGTGGGTTGTAGACTCCGTCTCATGCTACCACTAGAGTGACAGCACCGCCAGCATTCAAAAGTGACCAAACCATCATCCAGAAAGCACAGGAACTGAGAAGTGGTCTGTGGTCACCACCTGCAGAACCATTCCTTTATTGAGGATGTCTTGCTAACGGCCTATGCTTTCCACCTGTTGTCTCTTCCATTTGCACAACAGCATGTGAAATTGATTGTCAATCAGTGTTGCTACCTAAGTGGACAGTTTAATTTCATAGAAGTGTGATTGACTTGGAGTTACATTGTGTTGTTTAAGTTTTCCCCTTATTTTTTTGAGCAGTGTATAAAGCAGCCTTTGGAATTGCTCAGTTGGAAGTTGATTTGTTTAGTTGTTTTAATTCAAATGCAAGACAGGTTAATGCCTAGAATTTGAGATAAAGTTAAAAATATTATTAGGAATATATTGCAAGGAAAATAGAATGCTGAAAAAATGTATACTGAGTTGAATTTAATTTAGCCAAAACAAGAAAATAGAAAACTGTTGATCCTATAAAATTAGAAAGTTGCTTGGACCATATAGGTTCTGAATAAATTCTTTCACTCTTCAGATTTTGATTCTTAAATTTAGTCTGCCTTGGCTTTGCATTAGTAAAGATTTTCTATTTTGGCAGATACATTGAGACAAGTAATGATGCTAGCTTTGTGTTTAATGAAATCAGATCAATGATGCACTTGTATTTTGTCCCTCATTCTTGATTTATCTTATATTTACAGTGCAACCTTCACATTCATGCCTCCTATAGCATCTCCCAGAAGCTGAATGTACCTATGGCACCTCTGACTGAACCAAATGCTGTTGGAATTATTATTTCTCATGGTAATGAATTAATCTTATGCACATGTAATATGTAATGAAATACTGTGCAAGAGCAGAGACTTTTCTTGTGCTCCTTCAGATTGCTTTTACTCCCTGCTTGATTAGGAGAGATACTCTGTAAAAGGATGTGAGAGACTGTGGGCTTGACAAAGAAATACATGTGGTAGGTCTTCATGAGAAAATTGGCATAATTACCATTTATGGTGCTTTATGTTGCAGGAAGTGTTGGAGATGCTATCTCAATAACAAACCCAGATGTTTACATTTCGGATGATGGTGGCTACACCTGGTCACGGACACTTGAAGGTCCCCATCACTATGCAATCTTGGACTCTGGGGGCATCATTGTGGCTGTTGAACAAACTCATTTTGTCAGAGAGATTAAGTATGCGAGAGTTTTGCTAATATTCATTTAGTGGGAGGATATAAGTTCTCTGTTTGCTTCTAACCTCCACATTACTGAATGTCTATGGAGATTCTCAGTTATCCAGGTCATGGTTGTCCCAAAGGTGCTTTTGTTTTCTTCTCAAGAGGCAACTGGACTTTCTGGTCCAGAAAGTCCAATTGCCTGTTGGGGATTTAAAAAAAGCACTTTGAGACTCCACATTACTGGTTACAGCAGTTCAAAGAAATTATTTTCCTGGTATAATGTCAAATTGGATCGCTTTGAAATTAAAGCATATGAAATATATGAAAATGGATAAGAGTCAGCTTTCGATAAAAAAAGATTGCAAGATAATTTATACTCTTATTTCGAAACTAAACTCTCCAGACAAAGGGGCTTAATTTGAAGTTAATATACATGGAATTATATCCAAGAAAAAAACTTAGGAAAAAGGGTGCAAAGAAGAAAGGAGGTGGCAGTCATACTTGAGCATATAATTTGGGGTAATAGAGGTAATCCTTGCTTTAGTACTGTAGTTGAGTCCAGAATTACAGCTGTAAGTCATGCTGATCATTAATTGGGATCATTGACCCAATTTTATGACATTTTTTGCGGCAGTTATTAAGCAGATGTGGCAGTCATTAAGTGAACATCACTATCACTAAGTAGTCATAAAACAAACTCATTGTTTGCAATGACCACTTTTGTTGGAAAACGAAAGTAAACATTGGTTTATGGCAAAAATCATAAATTGCAAGTTATGTGACCTTGGGATGCTGCAAACTGCTGCAGATGCAGGACAGTGGCCGGGTTTCTCAGTTTCTCAGTGACTGATGATTAAGACTTCCTGTAATCTCTTGTGAAGACATGAGTTCTTGAGGAAAAAAGGAGCTTTGTTTCCTGAGAGGAAATCTATTTTTTTACCATATCCTTCTCCCTCCCCCCCTCCCCCCCAAAAAAAGAGGTGGGGAGGAGGTTGTGTTATATATATGCTTGGATTTCTTTTTCCTGAATCATTCCACAATTGGGGGCCTAATAAGATGAATCATCTTGTTAAGGACAGTTGTTAAATTAGCCGTCTGATTAGTTTAAATAGACTGGAGCCATGCTTTGAAATTTTTAATTCTCATTTATTTTAGGTTCTCAACAGATGAAGGACAGTGCTGGCACAGCTATATTTTCAGTGAGGAACCCATCTTTTTCACTGGTTTGGCATCAGAACCTGGAGCAAAATCAATGAATGTTAGCATCTGGGGATTTCAAGAGAGTTTCTTATCTCGCCAGTGGATCTCATACACCATTGATTTCCAAGATCTCCTCAGCAGAGACTGTGAGTGATCTTACTATTTACAGAAATACCAGCAGCCGCACACTATTATGGGCTTACAAATCAGAAAAGTAACTGAAGCAGAACATCTTGTATTAGCTGCGATGTTATTCAGAGAAGATTCGGTACCTTTCAAGATTAGAATACAGGGTAGTCCTTACTTATCAACTGGTTGTTCAGTGAGTGTTCAGTGAGTATTCAAAGTTGTGACATGAGTGGTACTTGCAACTGGTCCTCAAAGTTCCGGCCCTTCCAGTACCCCCACAGTTATGTAATCATGATTTGGGCACTTGGCAATCAGCTTGAATTTGGAATAGAATAGAATACTTTTATTGTCATTGCATTCCACAAATACAATGAAATTTGAAAGCTACTCCAGTACAGTGCCCCAAACACCACATCACAATCACACGACAGAGTATTTAATAATAATAATAATAATAATAATAATAATAATAATAATAATAATAATAATAATAATAGTAATAATAGTAATAGTAATAGTAATAGGACTAAATCACAAATGCACTGTTTGATTCAAGACAATTACTGCCTTGGAAAAGAAACTGTTTCTCAATCTATTAGTCCTCATTTTAAGACACCTATAACGCCTCCCTGATGGTAACAGTTCGAAATATGAATGTCCAGGATGAGAACGGTCTGTGGAGATTTTTAGTGTTCTAGAGAGGAGTCTGGTCTTTGCAATCTCTTCCAGAGAAGAAAGAGAGCAACCGATGATTTTTTGTGCTGTGTTTATAACTCTCTGGAGCATCTTCTTCTCCACTGCAGAGCAACCAGCATACCACATCGTTACACAGTATGCTAAATGCTCTCAGTGGTAGAACGGTAAAAAGTAAACCAGCAACTTCTCACCCAGACCACTCTTTTTCAGCAACCTCAGAAAGTGCAGGTGCTGTTGGGCCTTCTTTGCAGTGGCCATAGTGTGGACCAACCAAGTAAGGTTGTCGGAAATATGAGTTCCTAGAAATTTAAAGCTATGAACTCTTTTCACTCAGTCTCCATTGATATGTAGTGTGTGAGGCTCTGCTTTGCATCTTCTGAAGTCTATAATTAATTCTTTGGTCTTTTTGATGTTCAGGGTGAGGTTATGACTCTTGTACCACAAGACCAGTCTGACCTATAGGCCGTCTCGTCTCCTCCTGATATGAGTCCCACCAGCGTGGTGTCATCTGCAAATTTTATTATAGAGTTAGTGGGACAAGAGGGAGTGCAGTCATAGGTGTAGAGTGAATACAAAAGGGGGCTCAGCACACAGCCCTGTGGAGAGCCAGTGCTGAGAACAAGAGTGGAGGAAAAATAGCTGCCAATCCTGTTTGGGGTCTGTTAGTAAGAAAGTCCCTTATCCAGCAGCAGATGTGAGAGGAGAGGCCTATTTCCAGCAACTTCTTAATGACAGTTGTAACGTCTCACAGTCCCGTAATCACCATCTGGAATCTTCCCTGTGGGCTTCCCACATGCAAAGTCAATGAGGAAGCTGGCAAGGAAAACCACATGTTGCTCTCTCTCCGCCTTCCTGTGCCAAACTCTGCTTCCCTCGGCTCCCTGAGCTCCCACCCACACCATGCCTTCCTCCGCTCAGCCTCCATACACTCCTACCATGCTCTCCTTTCCTCAGCTTCCCTGCACTTGCACTGTGTCTCCATCCCTCAGCTTTCACACCACAATAGTCCCCTGGCCCAATTTGCATGTGACCTGCACCTCCTCCTCCCCCACTCCACCCAGCAGCATCCATGTGAGACTATATTAGTGATCTCCAGTCACTAATATTTTCAGAGCTAGGCAAAATAATTTTAAAATGTATATTTAATTTCTGTAAATCTCTGGTTTTTCAGAAATAATGGAAGAATTTGAGCAACTTTTTTGGGCCAAAGTAAGGGCACAGATAAATACTCCAGCTATTTCTAGACTGTTTATGTAATTCTACAAAACATTTCCTCCATCTTTGTTCGCTTAAGTTGATTGTACAGGGGAGCAGGGATTTCTCCCTTCATTCCTTCTTGTTGATTGGTATGTGTTGCAAATGCAGGGCCTGTGAGATGCAGCTTTGCAAACTCTAAACTGGAAAAACTACACAATTCCCTTAGTAATACCTGATTGTAACACTGTGTGAAGAATTGAAAATTGTCAGGAAAACCACTTACTACTCGATTTAGTTTCTTTTGGTAATCTTAGAAATCTGGCCATTATTTTTTTTCCTCAGGTGAAGAAAAGGACTATACAAAGTGGTTGGCTCATTCCAACAATCCCAGTAACCCCTCAGATGGATGCATACTGGGATACAAGGAGGAGTATCAACGCCTTCGCAAATCTTCTGTCTGTAAAAATGGCCGGGACTACATTGTGACCAAGCAGCCATCTGTCTGCATTTGCACATTAGATGACTTTCTTTGGTACGCTAAAAATCAAGAATCTGGTAACACCTTTTCCAGTTAACAAATTTTACTACAAGGCATAAGCTTTTACTTTTCCTGTCTTTATTTTTCCATTAGAGCTTACAGTAATAATGGCACAGTATCTGCTCAAGATTTGCATCTTGTGGTTGAACTGTACCAGAGACACTGTTTCCTCCCTCTTCTAAGGCCAGGCCCCATTTTTCTGCTTCCTCTGTTCTGCTGCACTGACAAAACTCAGTTTTCTTACTGCCATCTTCAAGTCTCTTCTATTTCTCAGGCTGTGACAGCAGAATCCAGCCCCATTATCATCAGGGAAGTTGATCTGTGTCATTGATGACCTATTAAACGTCAGACATTAGACCAGGGGTCCCCAAACTTGGCAACTTTAAGTCTTGTGGACTTCAAGACTTGAAGTACACGAACTTTAAAGTTGCCAAATTTGGAGACCTCTGCATTAGACAATGTCCTGATTCACATATAGCAGTAAAATATGCTTTGTTTTAAGCATTGGACACATCATAGTGGCCTAGTTCTGATCTAATTGCAAAGCTATGCATGCTTTATAAGATCCAGTGGCTGGATTAAAAAACCAAAGTACTTTAGAGCCACACTAACCACATTAATAAACACTAATTCAAATAAATTATAAAATAAATAATGAAGTGTGAACACTGCTACCTTCTGTGTATGACATGGCATAGCATGCTAGTATCCAAACTACAAAATCTATTACAATGAGTGACCACGAGTGAACAAGAGAAAGCAATGTGACTTAGTATGTCACAAAGATTAGTAGAGATTACTACAGCAAGCAGTAAGAAAGAGCTGGGCTAGAAGCTCGTTATGATTACCAGGTTTTATTAATAGGTTTGTTTGAGATGACACTCTTTTGTGCTTCTGCATGTTCTCAGTTATGGTTGCACTTGCGAATATTTCTTTAAAAAGGGCATTTTCCGCCTGCAGTAGGACACCTACAGTAAGGGCACCTTCACGCCCGCAGTACTGTCAACAAACAGTAATACAATTGTTCTAAAAGTAATGTATATCATGTCTTTAATTTTGGCACAAGACCTATTTTTCATGTATTTTTCATTCATGCAATATGTGAATGAATATAATACATTCAATTATATACATGTGTGCCTTAAATATTTAATGTACTACAAATTAGGTGCTTATTCTCAATGCAAAAAAGTGTCCTCTGGAAATATGGGAATCTTCACTAGCCAGCTCATCAGCTGGATGTTTGCAAACATCACCAATGGTAGTGAGAAATCAGCAGGCTGTTAAGCACTAACTAATTGGCTGCTTGTTTCATACAGTGTCCCATTTTCCTTTCTTAAAGATTAGTGGACCAGTAAACATGGTAGGACCAGATTTCTAATTTACATTACTAATGAAAGTAGAAACCAATGATCTTAGGTAAGTTTGTTGTGGGAGGTCCAAGAAAAGGCTTCCTCTCTAACAAGTAACTGTTTACCTGTTACATGAAGAGAATCTTGAAGATCATTCAAGAACTAAGATACTATACAGTACTACTGTTGAATATCATAACCCCAAAACAGCAACAGTATGTGGCCTGAATATGTGCTTTAACCTAAATTTAAATAGAATTTGTTCCAGCTTTATTCTACCACTCTGAACTTCCTAGAAAATTAGCAAACTTGCTTGACTGTATTTTTATCATTGCATTGCATGAACTATCTGTCTTATTTCCTTTTTCAAGCAGTTGACTAGAATTTCAGTAGAATCATGAGCTGATAAAAGAGAAACATGCTGAGCCATCTCTGTACATTTCGTAGTAAACCTTTCATTCCTGTAAGTTTTATAGGCTCATATTGTCCAAAGTAGAATTAGACAACCTAATGCCCTAAGACAGCATGGCCAACAGTAAGGCACTTTGAGAGTTGTAATCCAAAATATGGAAGGTAACAAGTAATGTACACCAAACTAAAACTTACTATCACCTAATGATCTGTCCATGAAAAAAATTGAACCCAATAATGTCCAGAACATCAGAGTATGTCCTGCTACATAGCAAAATACAGGCAGTCCTTGACTTACAACTGTAATTGAGCCCAAAGTTTGCTAAGTGAAACATTGAGTTTTGCCTTGTTTTATGACCTTTCTTGCCAGAGGTGTTAAGTGAATCATAGCAGTTGTTCAGTTAGTAACACGACTGTTAAGTGACCCTGGCTTCTCCATTGATTTTGCTTGTTAAAGGTGATCACATGACCCTAGGACCCCGCAAATATGAGTCAGTTGCCAAACGGCTGGATTGATCATGTGACCATGGGGATGCTGCAGTGGTTGTAAATCACTTTTTTCAGTGCTGTTGTAACTTTGACTAAATCTCTAAAAAAGAGCTGTGATGAAGCAGTGATTAGAATGCAATATTGGAGGCTAAGTCACTGCTCACCGGTAGGGGTTTGATTCTGATTGGCTCGAGGTTTACTCAGCCTTCCATCGTTCCCTGGTCAGTAAAATGAAGACCTAGATTGTTGGGGGCAATATGCTGACTCTGTAAATTGATTAGGGCTGTAAAGCACTATGAAGTGATGTATAAGTCTAAGTGCTATTTCTGTTGCTAAATGAGCTTTGTAAATTGAGGCCTACCTGTATAATTCAGGATAGCCTAGTGTTTGATATCCTGAATAACTCCCAAGAAAGTAAGATATGGGGGTTTCTAGACTGGCCATATCATCCCACTTCATTACTAATGAAGTGGGATGATAGTGGGATGATTTCACCAGTCTGAAAACCTCCAATACAGTAAGCTCAAATGGAGAAACTGCCTGTGGAATTAACAATACAAGTAGTTACTGTATTCTTGTGAGATACTCATGCACTTTCTCCCTGCCTGGCGACAGCCACCACCGGTCCTGCAGCACTCATACCATCCTTATCTGCTTACTAGCCTGTTTGCAAAGCACCTGTGACTCACAGTGAATAATTCTCATTTAATGACAGCATTGGAGAGTGCTGGGATTGCTGTTGTTAAGCAATGTGGTCACATGACATTGCGCTTTACAGCCACATTGCTTAGCGCTAAAAATTCTGGTCCCAATTTCCAATGTTAACCAAGGACTTGCTGTAGTTCTGGTGAATCTTTTTTTTTTGTTCTGGTCACTTTTGCTCAAAGAGAAACATTCAAAACTCCCTGGGCACTTTGCAGGGCACTTTGTTGGGAATGAAGTCATTATAAACTGAAGCAACTATGACTTTTTGTCCCCAGACCAGTATGGCAAAGAGAACAGGGACAATTTCACCTCATCTTTTCCACCAACCTGATCTCTGTAATACGTGTTAGGTAAGGTCAATAGTGCACAGCCAGATCCTGAATGTTACCATAATTTTCTTGTTTTCTAATCTGGCATTCAGGAGTACCATCTTCATACTGAGTTGGGAAGGTCACCATCAAGTAGAAGACTATAGCTGAGAGACTAACAGAAATCAGGAACACCTGTCATTTCTGTATCATCCTCTGCTTGCTATGCTTGCAATGCCTGCCACAGAAAAACCTTTCATTACTTATTTTGAAAGGGTATGCATGCACGTGTGTGTATATGTGCGTGTGTATGTATGCATTACATTCATGATAAAACACCTTAATAATCACCTTTCCCCTCAGCAGATATTTATATAACCACAAGTATCATGATAACAGTCAAAATCTTTACGGTCTTCTTTCCACATAAGCTAAATATCAGTAAATATTTGTGTACACATGTCAATATGTTTCAGATGAAGTCAATGGCTTTTCTTCCCTATGTATTTGTTTATTTATTTGTCCTCCAGTGATTTTGGCTATTTCCGCCCAGAAAACCAGTCTGAATGTGTGGAACAGCCAGAGCTGAAGGGTCATGACTTGGAGTTCTGCTTGTATGGGAAGCAAGAGCTGTTAAAGACCAGCGGGTAATTTTCTTGTAGGATTCTAATGCATTAGCAGTTGCATGCAAATGGATGCCCTTAGCCAGCAAGAGAAATTGGAAGATGGCCTTAGTGTTGTGGATCCTTTTGTAAACTGTTGGGTCTTTTGGGGGCCCATAGTGCTCTGTTAAACAGCATCCCCCTCTACAAATTATAATTTGAGCCAATAAGAAAACCCCATGGGATCAGGGAATGCCTATGGTAGGAAATGGTTTGGCCAAGTCTGGAAAGGTGTGCCTTGCAGACTCTTCCTGCTTTTAAGTGATCCAGCCTGTTTGTGGAGATAAAGTTTGTACTCGAATGAAGGCAAATATATAGGTGTCCCAGGATAACGTTGTAGGATCCAATCTGGGTCAGTCATGAGGAGTACAGGTTTAGCCTTCTGAGCTTTCGGACTCATTCAGGAGCCTGTCCTGAGGGAACTTTTCTCTTACCATAATGTGTCTCACTCTGGTGAGACAGAAGTTCCCTGAGAATGGGCTCCAGCCAGGGGTGGGATTCTACCGGTTCAGACCACTTCGGGTGAACCGGATGTTAAATTTGCATCTGGTTCGCCGAACCAGTATTTCAACTGACTGGCTGACCCTGCTCACCCCTCCCCTCCCAGGAGTCTCCACGTGGCCCATTTTTGATGCAGGTAAGTGCAGGGTCCATGTGGAGGCTCTGGGAGGGGGGAAAAATGGGCCTGTTTCCGGCTTCCGGAGGGCCTCCAGAGCCCGTGGGAGACCGTTTTCACCCTCCCAGAGGCCTGAGGGAAGCCTCTGGACTCTTGGGAAGGCAAAAAACGGCCCTCCCGGAAGTTCCAGTAGGCTACGCCCACCCAGCAACTGGGCAGTGAACTGGTTGCTGGGATTTTTGAATCCCACCCCTGGCTCCAGCACTAGTCCAAAAGCTTGGAAGACTAAACCTCTGGTCCCAGTGACCGACCCAGATTGGATCCTGCAACATTATACTGGGACACTTACATATTTGCCTTCATTTGTATACAAACTTTACTTCCAAAACATTAAACCTCTGGTCCAGATTGGATCCTGCAAGGTTTGTATAGCCAAAAGAGAGAACGTACAACCTAACACTCTTGTGTGAATAATACAAGGTAGAAATGTGAGTGAGAGATGAAGGAGTTTCAGTTGCTGTTTGAAGTTCACTGAACCGAGAAAGTAAAAGGAACACTGGTTTTTAAGTACATGAGATGGAAGTTAAGCAGATGGAAGTCAGAAGGAAGCAACTGTTGACAGCTAGGTGTGCTGTTGTTCCAACAGTTGGAGAAGATACAGCTAAGGCAGCTCAAAAACAGAAAGACTTAGTGGGAGTTAAGTATGTGCTAACCAAGCTAATTCAGCAACACCAGGCTTTGAAAAAGCTTGCCAACAGGCTTGGGGCTGGAGATGGTCCAAGAGGCAGGTTTAGTAAGAGACCCTGGGGCTCTACAGGGTAGTGACGCAGGCCACTGAGAAAGTCCTGTGATAGATTGGATGACCGACTAAGAGACTCCTGAAGAAAGGCCTTCCAGAGAAACCTCAGCCACAGAGGACACAAAACAGGTCCAGCAGTGGAAAAAATGACTGCCAGTTGGAGACAGGCTGACTTCACTGGGGAGGCTTCCTGAGGCAGGGCGATAATAAATATTTTTAATCTTAGCACATTTGGAGGATATGAGGTTAGAGAAGATTCTTTTTCTGGGTGAAACTCTCCTGATGTATATGTTATATTGACCCAAAAGTTCTATTGCCGAAATATTTTGAGAGCAGAGAGCTTGATAAGAACATTCATTGATTAGAGGCCATCATGTTAATTGTTTAAATATCATTTTGAAGGGCCAGTCCTAAAATAATGCTGACTGTAGGGGAGTTTTGTAGAGCTTGAGATAATTCAAGGTTAATCAGACAAATAAATACCATTCAACTTCCCTGTTCTGAACTGGCACTGACACAGGTAAGTAATCTTTGCTGGCTTGGGATGCAGTCACTCATTAAAAGAAAATTGCCTGTTGCAGAAAATTACTTATTGAAACTGGGTTTCCTTTTCAGATATCGGAAAATCCCAGGGGACAAATGTGTAGGTGGGAAGAATCCCAAACGTAAAGAGACCGATCTGAAACAAAAGTGTACAAGTGACTACTTGAAGTCAAGTCCATTGGTATGTTACACAAAAAATAAAAGGGAAAAAAAATCTGCTGAAACAATTGTGATGGATAGGGGAAAACATTCTAACATAGTCTAAAAAGAGGGAGGGGGGGCACTGCCAGTTAATAATTAATGCCTACGAAGTATTTTTCATAAAATGTTCTGATACTATTAACCTCAGTTTTGTGCAGTCATTGTGATAAATGAGCTTTGGAGATCAGCTGCCAAGAGCAGCTGCTTTGCAGTCTAGCTGCTGATTAGCATTTTGAGTGAGGGAAATCTAATTGCAAAGTGCTTCACCTTTTTCCAATTTCTTTTTGCTTCCCCAAATCTGCTGCATTCAAGACAGGAGTGCAGTCCCTTTTGGTAAGGAGCAATTGAGAGACGCTAGAAAGATCATTATAGAAGCACTTTGTAACTACAATGTTCCTGTGTCTAATAATGTGTTGCTTAAAGCTTCAGACAGCTTTCTGCTTTCTTTCTGCAGAATACCTCTTCTAACTCTACTCCAGTCATCCTGGCTGTAATTGCTTTGATGCTCCTCACTGCCGTCGCTGGAGTAGTCATCATTAAGAAATACGTCTGTGGGGGAAGGTGAGCCTCAGAGTGGAGAATGACAGTAACAGAGCTGTGGGTGTGTGTGTGGGGGGGAATGGAACAGAGATACTATGCCATCTTTGTTACACAGATGTGGAAGCAAGAGAACTGGAACTGAAATGCATTGGTAGCAATGTGATCCTTGTATGAGGAGAAACAAGGCACGTGTTCCTATAAACTGAGCGTTAGTGATGCTGCTAAGCACTTTCTTTTTTTCTTTCGTCTCCAAAGAAGTCATTGATTTTGTTTGTTTCCAGAATTGGGATTAGTGATTGAACGAAAGCAGTGGGGAAAAGGTAGCCCCCTGGGCCCTTGGAGCCACCTGATTGTTCCAGATATCAGGCTGGGCTGCTGTGAATAATCTAGAAAAATCTGCTTTTAGATTTAGATCAGGGGTGTCCAACCTTGGCAACTTTAAGACTTGTGGACTTCAACTCCCAGAATTCCTCAGCCAGC